GACTATCCATTACACCCTCACTCCCCGAAGTGTGAGGGAGATGACCTTCCCCGACCTGCCCAACCGATCAGTTCCTCGATCAGAGACGGCGGGCGTCTCCGACCTGGCGGATTTATTGAATACCACTACATCATCAGGTGAAGATAAACACCGTCCTCATACTTCGGTATCCTCAAGAGCAACTGGAGAGATGTCTCCAATGTCCCGCACCAAATCCATTGATTCACCCAAGCACATCCCGCTTACCATGCGTTTGACCAACATGTCATCAACGTCGAGGTCTAGCAAGAGTGGACAGGCGCGGGATGCGCGGCTCGAACCCTCGGATTCGACACGCGACTTTGCGGAATTCATGAGATCGACTGGCCCTGCTAGTGCACCAACCGAGTCTAAGAACTCTATCTCTGCCGAGAGCCCACGGCCTGTTCGTCCTCCATCAACTTTCTCCTCTGCCTCCCGAGGCAACCGACTTAAGCTTCAAGCTCGGTCTGCTGAGACGAGAGGATCTCAGACTTCGGACCTCATCGACTTCATTCGCGAGGGACCTCCTATGCCAGCAGGTGCTCACCGGATTCCTCGGGCAGTTGCACCTTTCCGCAACACCATCGACTCAGATGATCTTCATCTAGACAACACTACCTACTCTTTCGTCAGCACTGGGAATGGATCTACACCCAGTAAATCCTTAACATCTCTTGGTTCGCGGTCGGCGTTGCTGGGAAGCAAGGCTACAGCATCGGGAAGCGCCACGGAATTCGACGAGCCTCAGCCTGTTCGGAAGCAACGCCGTGCTCCAGATCCATACGCCATTGATGACGATGACGATGACGCGCTTCTAGAAGAACTCCTGGAAAAGGAAGCAAACCCCAAGCCCAGGCGCGAGGAGGAGAGCCTGATGGATTTCTTGCGCAACGCCCCTCCCCCTCCCCCATCCGAACAACCCCTGCAGCCATTTGCAGTTAGTACTCCTGCATCAAATGGTCTCTCCGGTGCATCGGGCATGAAGGCCCGCCTACTCCGCAGCTCTCACAACTCCTTACGAACACAAAATATCCCCACCAAGGTCCAGTCCAACTACTCTGCCAAGGTTGGCCAGGAGCGCAACAATGGCACCATGCCTTCTATCTCAAACCGCCAGACCGACACCGGTGATTTGGCGGATTTCCTCCGAAACACCGGGCCTCCCCCGACCCCTCCGCGAACTTTATCAACACCAATGGGATCTAAGCCGAAGGACAGTGGCTTCTCCCGTTTCTTCACGCGCCGAAAGAAGGTCGAGGCCTAATGGGTTGAAATTATCCTGACGACATTCTCGACTAATGTCTTGCTTTGCTGAGCGTTCCAAATCATCTAACGATCTACATATCATGTCCATTACTTTGGTCTCTCTTGTTTGTGCACTAGCACACTGTCATCTTTATCATTCCCTTTTTCTTTACTTTTCTCACATAGAGTCATGTCCTCTTTTCCTTATTGTTTACTATGGCTACGGCCGGGTGGCTTTTTCTTCTCTTCTCTTGCGCTTTTGTGCACCACTTTGTTTTCTACCCCTCCGCGCGATACTGAACGATTCATACGGACTTCGGGTTTTCTATTTGCCTCTTTGTTGGGACGTCGCTTTCATTGTTTTCGTGGATTTCGAGATACCATGGCGACACTCGGGCTATCTTTCGGTGCCCTGACATTCAGAAACTATTTCATTCTTCTGTGAACATCATAACTCCAATACACAGTAATAGCCCAGCTTAGATAAATATAAACCAATCAGATCAGAGTAATATTTGCTGTGTGAAACAAGAAATCCTCAGTCGAAGTATAGACCTTAGACCGTAACACCGGAACAAAGTTAATCCCGCACTCCCCTTACCAGGTGTCATCAACAGCAGCAAGCATCCGTGTTTACAACCGCCAATTCCACGCCGCAACCATGGGCACCTCACCAATTACGCTGAGGGCCATCCTTAGCTTCGTCTTTGTCTTCTTTCAGCTCGCCAGTGCCCTAAAATTCGACCTCATCGCCACCTCCGGCGGCGGCAAGAACGAGCGATGCATTCGCAACTTCGTCTCGAAGGACCAACTTGTCGTTGTCACTGCCATCGTTGGCGGCACGAAAGGTGATGGCCAGAAGGTCAACATTCATGTATGTGGAATTATTTATGGATGTGGATGGGATCTCGTCCTGGGTCTGCTGGGACTTGGAAGCCAAACCGCTGAATTGCTGAATTGTGGACCACGACTCATTATTTTCTCTGCATAGATCAAGGACGCTATGGGCAATGACCACGGTCGCCCTAAGGATGTCGTCGGCGAGACGCGTCAGATTTTCACTTCGCCCGCGGACACGGCTTTCGACGTGTGCTTCGAGAACCAACTTGTCGGCCACAGTAAGTGGTAGCTCCCTCGAACAACCCCGAACAATCCTCCGGGAAGAAATCCAGAGTCAAAGAGAAAGTGATACTAAAACAACGCCACCCCATTAGACACCATCCAGAACCCCTCCCGCCCCATCGAACTTGACGTCGACATTGGTGCCGACGCCCGTGACTGGAACAGCGTCCAGTCGCAGGAGAAGCTCAAGCCCGTTGAGACAGACCTCCGCCGCATCGAGGAGATGGTTGCCGATATCGTGACTGAGATGGAGTACCTACGTGCGCGTGAGCAGCGTTTGCGTGATACCAATGAGAGCACCAATGAGCGCGTCAAGTGGTTCGCTTTCGGGACCATGGGTATGCTTATCGGGCTTGGTGCTTGGCAGGTTGTTTATCTGCGGGCTTACTTCAGGTATGTTGAATTGTGGTTGTGGGTGGAAGATAGAATTGGTTACTGACTGTTTGGTTCTTGCAGATCTAAGCACCTTATCTAGATTTACTAGTCCATGGAATGGTTGCATCTTTGATGGTTCTTTTTTTGGTTTTGCAGCGGTTGCATTGCAAATCCTTTTGCTCTAATGTCGAGTGGCATTCTGTTCAACAGTCATGATCTCAATGATATAAAATGTACACCATGCTTTCTGCAGCCTGGCGCTAATAATACTTTTTTGTTTCTCGCATGTGATAGATACCTAGGTATTTAGGGATGGTTGGTCAGCTATACTTCACAGGGCTCCTTTTCGCCTAGTGAGGTATCACCCGAACATTCATAAATATATTAATATATACCTTACTAGGTAACCCTGGAAGGAGCATTGGATGTCTACGCGAGGTCAGTGTATACATCGAGATCGATATCTTGCAGAGGGATTCCGAGTCCAATGGAACCAAAACAACAGACGGGCCAAGACAGCAAACAGAAAGGGACTCAATCCCATGTTCAAAAAGGCCCCCATAGACACATAGAAGCTAGAGAACTGAGCTGTGTTGAAAGGTGTGTAATCCATGGCCTCTTAGTGGAATGTTTAGCATTGCAAACATAACAAACACCGGGCATTGCAGGAGCTTTTCGGTTCCCCGGGCTATTACACCGGATGATGTCAAAGCCGAGCATCAAACTCCTCATCCCCAGAGGAAAGAAAGTCCCAACTCTCTCTCTCTATAGGATACTGTACAACAAGATGTCTGCCCCACGTATACTGCATCGCCTTGCGCGACCAGTGCCATCATCCCTAAGCACAATCACAAGACTAAACCGCCAATTCGGCGCAACAGCTCTACGCCTCAAAGATGGCGACGAAGCTGCCCCGGAGGTAAAGGCGCACCGCGCAAACCAGGCCAACAAGGCCCCGAACCAATTCGTGCCCAACACAACCTCCACCATGACAAAGGACTTCCCCAATGTCGGCCAGAAGCCTCCACCACCGGAGATGCTGAACTCAGTCGATCCCAACTACAGACCGTCTGATCCGTACCCCGGAAGGATTGAGCATTTCACCGGTGGTCGTCAGGATAATGGGGCGCAGAAGCCCGAGCTTGGCGTTGGCGAGATGGAGGGTATCACGTTCAAGGTTGAGCCTTTGAAGAGAGTTGGGGAGGAACTTGCCACGAAGAGAGCACGCCTGCTATGTTCGTACCCGTCCCCATGCATGCATCTCGGTCCAATGTTAAAGCAGAGGATCTGATGGATCAATATATCAAGAACCATTCAAGCTAATCAACTCCACCCCAGACCAAAGCCGCAAGCGCGGAATCCTGGAGTCAGATCTACTCCTCTCGACCTTCGCAGACGTCTACCTGGGCAATATGGACTACGATCAGCTCGTCGAGTACGACAGCTTCCTCGACGAGAACGACTGGGACATCTACTACTGGGCGACACAGGACCCGCCTGAGGAGATCTCACCCTCTGCTCCAAAGGAGGATACCATCACCGAGGGTTGGAAGGAGACCGGTGCCAAGAGCGGTGAATGGGCTCAGACTATTGGTGCTTTCAGGGCGGCTTACCGGCCTGTTCCGTCGCGCTGGCAGGGTTCCGAGGTTCTCACGCTGCTCAGAGAGCATGTTCGCGATAAGAGTGCTACTGGCTTTGAGAAAGCCAAGAATAAGAAGACTGGTGGTGGTGGTGGTGGCTTGGGAAGAATGCCTGATGTTCAGGTGTTTAACTCGTAATTGTCTGTGAAGGAGATTGAACTCATGAAGTCTGTCGATTTCAAAACTGTACTATAGTTGTCATAGTGGTCATATTGTCCATGGTAGAAGGCGTGTATTAAGAATGTTGTAACTTTGACGGTACTGGGACCAATGGGTGTAGCGTTCACATATTGAAATAGAAAAAACAAATCAATTGTTGATTTCAAATATGACAGAGCGAACATGAATACAAAATCAACATTCAATTCTCTATCTCCGATATACATCGTAGTCGAGACCCAGAGCTCTGTATAGATGCAAGTCATGTGACCGGTTCGCTTAGTATTAGGGCTCCACGGAACCACACAAGGAGAGCAGCGAAGCGGCTTAGGGCTTGAGCGGGCACGTCTGCCCTCCCATCTCGATTTTACCTCACCCCCCAGAGTTAACGACAATCTCCGCCCATCCCTCTCTCTCCTTCATTGTCTCATTCCCATCATGGCTGAGCAGCTGGTTCTTCGCGGCACCCTTGAGGGCCACAATGGCTGGGTTACTTCCCTCGCCACCTCCCTGGAGAAGTAAGAGCGACCTACCCCGATCGGAGGATTGAATTTTTGAAGGGACAAAATTCTGACTTGAATGTTCGATGATAGCCCCAACATGCTGCTGTCCGCTTCCCGCGACAAGACCCTGATCATCTGGAACCTTACCCGTGATGAGCAGGCCTACGGTTACCCCAAGCGCAGCCTCGAGGGTCACTCGCACATCGTCTCTGACTGTGTACGTTTTTCTTCTCCCGAATGAACCACACCCAGAAACCATTGGATGCGACAGATGGATTTGGGTGGCGCATTTCGAAAAAAAAAAAAAAAAATTGAAAAAGATGGAATGGTTTTGGCTGACCGAAGGTCTTGTCTGCGTTATAGGTGATCTCCTCCGACGGTGCCTACGCTCTGTCCGCCTCGTGGGATAAGTCTCTCCGTCTCTGGGAGCTCTCCACCGGTAACACCACCCGCACTTTCGTCGGCCACACCAACGATGTTCTGTCCGTCTCGTTCTCCGCCGACAACCGTCAGATCGTCTCCGGTTCCCGTGACCGCTCCATCAAGCTGTGGAACACCCTCGGTGACTGCAAGTTCACCATCACCGACAAGGGCCACACCGAGTGGGTGTCCTGCGTTCGCTTCAGCCCCAACCCCCAGAACCCCGTCATTGTCTCCGCTGGCTGGGACAAGCTCGTCAAGGTACGCTATCGATTCCGAATCTCCCTGCACAATTTCCTCCCCGCCTTGCTTTGCCCGCGTGATGTTTGCATAAACGTATTTGCTACTTCAGAGCCCTTCGGGGCCATGAGACAATTTTTCACCCATTTTGCCTGATGGGCACAGCAACAATTTTTTTGTTTTTTATTGAACGAGAGAAGGATTGGAAAAAATTTTCCTTGACACTTGACATTCTTTATGAGGGTATCGACGCTAACATTTGATCCGCGTCTAGGTTTGGGAGCTCGCTTCCTGCCGTCTCCAGACCGACCACATCGGTCACACCGGATACATCAACACCGTCACTATCTCCCCCGACGGATCCCTCTGCGCCTCTGGTGGCAAGGACGGTACCACCATGCTCTGGGACCTTAACGAGTCCAAGCACCTCTACTCCCTCTCCGCTGGCGATGAGATCCACGCTCTCGTCTTCTCCCCCAACCGCTACTGGCTCTGCGCTGCCACCAGCAGCTCCATCACCATCTTCGACCTCGAGAAGAAGAGCAAGGTTGATGAGCTCAAGCCTGAGTTCGTTGAGAAGGGCAAGAAGAGCCGTGACCCCGAGTGCATCAGCTTGGCCTGGTCCGCTGACGGCCAGACCCTGTTCGCCGGTTACACCGACAACAAGATCCGTGCCTGGGGTGTTATGTCGCGCGCATAGATTTGAGTTGCTGTATCGGAGCTTAAGGAGCCTCTTTTTGATCTATTGACAAGGGAATTGAAAAAAAGTTCAAAAGATATGGCCAGAAGAGCATTGGTTTGGGATGTATGAGCCACGAGCAATGAAGCACTTCTCGCCGGGACTGAATCGTCCCCGGCCTGGAGGTTTTCTGACATGTCTAGCCTACTTGATCCGCATGGAAAATGTATGGAATCTTGTACAAGACGTGTGATGTTCTAATACCAGTTAAGGCATCAAAATGTTTCCTATTTTTCTTATTGAAAATCTCTTGTAAAACCATCGTACCGTATGTCTTTCATGTTATATATCTGTCTTCTCCTTCATCCTTCCTTGTGTTGCCCATGTATGGCACTGTGATAGCTGCCGGATGTACTTCTTCGAGCAGTGCCAAATGATATACAGGAATGGTTTGAGATTTCTATTTCCAACATTGGTCATAATGTACATCAGGCTGAGCAGAGAGGCCTTCTCAGATCTACCCATTATTTCTTTCCAAGTCTCTTCAAAGCCTCCTTAGCCATCGTACTCCCTTCCTCATATCCAATCCCATCGGCCAACACCTTGGCCTCCATATACCGCTGCTTAGCGACCTCTGGCTTCTTTTGTAGCTCAGCTAGCTCGCCTAGGTTATACGTAGCAACCACACAAGTAATGTCACACTCCTCGTCACGTAGCGGGGGTTCAATGTGCGCCGCAACCTCAATGGCCTTCTCCGCCCACTTCTGGGCAGCTTCAACAGTCTGCTGCGCTGTAACAGGTTGCTGCGGCTGAGACTTGGCGGGTACTTGAACCTGGCCGACCAGAGCGGTAGCCACATCGTTCAGTAGCACCACCTGTTTGCAAGATATGGAAGTTCCTTCCGCAGCGCGGATCAAATCTAACGCACGCATATACAGCGGCATGGCCAGCTCATATCTCTCCTTGGCGGTATAGGTGGCGGCAAGCTCAGCCAACGCCGTCGCGATCTCCGTGAGGTTCAGCCATGCCTCGCCGTCCGAGCCCTCACCACTGCTAGAGCTTCCAACAGGAAGTCCCAGCCTCTGACGACGGTGCATTTCCTTCAGACAGATCTCCACAGCAGCGACCTGCGCGACCTCGGCTTTCTTCTCATCCTGTATATACTCGCTGGAATAAAGCTCGCCAAGCTTCATCGCAATGCCGACGACCTTCTTAAGGGCTTTGTCTCGCTGACGAGCCTCGTACTGCGCCATTGCTTTCAGGTCCTCCTCGGTTTCCTGAATCGCCTCGGTGTCAATCTTGATATTGGCCGGGGTCTTTTGCACCTGCGCCTGCGCTTGCTTCACCTTCTCAGCCGCAGCAGCAGCGTTCCCTGCTGTGACTTCTTCCACCCACGCCAGAGTCTCATTCTTCGTCCGCTCCAACACATCAATGGCCGGCTTCACAAGTCCAGCCTTCTCTAGCATCATAGCAACTTGCAGCTTGATTCCAAGTATCTCATCCGAGTATGGGTGTATGCCCATCTCGAATGCAATATGCAGCGCCTCCCTATACGCCTTCATCGCCTTGGCAGGGTTGAGGTCGATCTCGGTGTAATAGATAGCCGTGCGGAGAGCGTCGGCCACCGGCGGTGGGAATTTGTGGTACTGCGGCCCGACGCGTGTCAATTCCACGTAGGAGATGTAGGCGAAGATGAAGGCTCCGCCGACAACGGAGAAGATCGCTAGTGGCATGAGGACAGGGTTCTTGCGCCAAATTCCTTTAGATGCTTCGCGGTATTTCCGGCCGATTTTCTGCATGATCGTGAGGTGCCGTGTGCCGGAGATGTAGGGACTTGCAAGTGATTTGCCATTGTTGATGCGGGGTTGGAGGGTTGGTCGGGTGGTGCTGTTGATGTATATTGAGCGGGCGAGACTCTTTGGTTGTGGTTGTAGAAGTTTTGCGGCTTGCGCGCTCGTGCGCCGTGATGCTGCGCGGAACATTGGGAGTGTGTGGATGGGTATTCGATAGAGATTTCAAGTTTTAATTTTGATTGAAGATGTGGTTATCCGATACAACCTGAGAAATTGACGTAGAGAATGGGGAGGGAGAGGGAGAGGGTATATGGTGAGTTGATGGAAAGCCCGCCCTCGATTTTCTGGTGGTCCAAGCTCCGCTCCGCCATATGACGTCGCCCGCTGCAGTATGCACTCGCCTTTCCGCTCATTCTGTCTAGAAAATGCACTGATTTAACCCAGTACTGACTGTGGAGACCTCACTAAATCAATCTAGCGATTCACACTGACAATGTGTGGGCGGTACGCTTTGGGCGTGGTATGTTACAGCTCTTGCGTCTAGACTGTCCGCCAGCTGACGATCCCAAGCGCTTGGCGTACATCCAACAACGCATGCAAGAGCAGGGCATGCAAGTGGATGAAGCACCAGACGACGATTCAGTCAGAGAGACATACAACTTTGCACCGGGCAACTTCGGCGCTATCTATCGTGCCGAGATCACCGACAAAGGGAGCCACAATGCTCAGCAAGATGCTGATAACGAGCCCCAAACCAAAGATTCAAAAAAGGGGAAAGACGACTTGAGCTCAGATGCTAAGCTAGTAGACAACGCGGTTATCAAATACAAGCTCCAGAGCATGAAATGGGGTCTTATCCCATTCTGGACGAAGCGCCAGCCGGATTACGGATCCATGATGCGCACGATTAACTGTCGCGATGACTCGTTGATTGAAGATTCGGGGATGTGGACTACTATGAAACGGCGAAAGAGGTGCATTGTCGTCTGTCAGGGCTTCTACGAGTGGCTGAAGAAGGGACCTGGGGGCAAAGAAAAGGTTCCACACTTTGTCCGGCGCAAAGACGGGGAGCTGATGTGCTTCGCTGGATTATGGGACTGTGTTTCCTATGAGGGCATGTCTATGCTTTTCTGACATTATGAAGCATTAATCGGGCTGACGATTACTTTGCACAGGTTCTGACGAAAAGCTCTACACGTACACGGTGATCACGACGTCTTCTAATCCCTACCTGAAGTTCCTGCATGAACGTATGCCCGTCATTCTGGACCCCGGGGGTGAGGCAATGAATAAATGGCTGAACCCCTGCCAAAAAACCTGGTCAAAGGAGCTCCAATCAATTCTCAAGCCCTACGAGGGTGAACTGGAGTGTTATCCTGTTCCTAAGGAGGTTGGGAAAGTCGGAAATAATTCCCCGAACTTTGTTGTTCCGGTCGACAGCAAGGAAAACAAGAGCAACATCGCAAACTTTTTTGCCAATACGAAAACGAAGGAGGATACAGACCCCACTCCAAAGAAGGAGGCTGCATCGCCGAAAGTGAAGAGTGTTAAAGATGAAGACCGCCCAGCTCAAGATTCAGAATGGAGCGAGAAAAATGCCCCAAAACCTGTGCCAGCTGTCAAGAGAGAGCATAGTCCAGAAGCTCTTGGAGTTGCGGAGGAGAGTGAGAAGCCAAAGGTCGATTCGGATCAAACGGGGACATCGCCGCAAAAGAAGAAGTTGCGCAGTGCTACGCATAATAGCCCTATGAAGAAGTCCAGTGGGAAGAAGGCAGCAGATGGGTCACAGCGAATTACGAGTTTCTTCAAGAAATGATGAGATATACAATAGACCAACTGAACCTTACCTTTTTCTACTAGGTTGGCCATACATTTGACCAATATATATATTCCCCTTTGTCAAGGCAGTGATGGGGACAACATGACCGAACCATATTTAATAGGTGACACAACTCGTATTTAATGTATCGCGTGAGCTCAGCTCCATAAAGAAAGAAACCCAATTGACCTGCAAGATGTGTTGAGTTGAGAACAGTCTAGTAAAAGAGGATCCTGGCTAGAAGAAGACCCGGCAAAAAAAAAGTCAATAGCAACCGAATGCGGGTTGAAAAGAAAAGAGTAGAGCTCCGATTAGATTGTTGAGTGTTCATATATACTTTACATAGGATTCCGTGGGCGATATGTCCGGTTTTTGAAGATATCACTTTTCAAGCTCTCGTAGCTTCTGAACCAGCTTTTCTCTGAGGAAAGGACTCAATCCGAAACTATATCAATCAATCAACATTTGAATACCAGTATGACGGAACATCTGAGAAGGGGGTACTTACATTCCATCTCGGGTCAGGATACGATAGGTACCTGCTAAGTATCAGCTTGGCCTGCTGAGTCTCATGTAGTCGGAAAACATAACATACCACTTGGCTGATAATTGCCATTCTCTCCAACAAACTGACCATTTGCATCCACCTCAAGGCTTCCGAACATATCCTCGGGCCTGAATGGCATTAGCTTAAGCTTCATATGGAATAAGATGTGCTCGTTGAAACACAGGCAAGCCCTTACCAAGCAATCCGCCCATAGTCAGGCGGCCGTCTGCCGTCAGAGACATGAATCCAACCACCACGCCCACCAGCGCCTGCACCACCTTGACCACTAGCACCACTGCTCAAGTCGCCTCTACGTCTCCCGCGCTGGCCGGTTAATAGCACGCCGCCTGAGTTCAGGTTCGCTCCGGCCACAGACACCATGACCTGCGCTTGGGACTTGGCATCGGGGTCTTCATGTGCGTATTCTGAGCACACTTCTTGTACTATATTCAGGAATTTGGGGTTCTCTTTGAAGGAGTCTGTTGTCGGTGGTAGTTGAGTCGCGAGTCCGATAGCCAATTCTGGGTTGACTGGCTCGGAGGGTAATAGTGACAAGATGTGGGTTCCGCTTGCTGGTCCAGCATTTGGAAACACGTACTATTAAGAAATTAGCTTCAATGAGGGCTCTGTAAGGTACAACAATAGCATACTATGTACGGAGACCCTTCCAATGTCGATACACAACGGACTTGAGTCCATTTGGGAAGAATCCGGGCCTGTCGGCCAAATGATCTTGCTGCAAACATCGAGTTATATAAATAGCAAGGTAATTGGTAGTGAACAATTGAGCAGCTAGCCTCGGAGGTAGCAGATTAAATATGATTGAGAGAGCTGGATCATAGCTCGATGGAAATGGCAGGCGGTTTCAAAGGCGGTGGAGATGTGCTGAAAGAAAAGTGGAGAGGATGACTTAATGCCAGTTTTATCAGGCAACAAATACGGGCACGGGATTAGCTGCCCCCTGAGGGCCGTGGACAACAATTTGTATTAGTCAGCATGTTCACGCGCCGGACTTGGAAACTTGCCCAGGAGGATTGTCAATGCTACACCAGTTCGGGGTAGTCTGTGCAAGAATTAGTATTTGTTTCTTCAATTACCAGTGCGGAGTTAGAACTCATATAGGTATGTAAGTTATTTACATATAAGTATGATGCAGGGAAGCCGCAAGTCACTATCTGCATGGGCTGGTAGGCACAGTTAAGGAAGATGTTCACAAGCCGAGCGGTTCAAGAACCCTCAAACCTGACCAAAGACAAATTCCGTGTCATTCACCAGTTGCATTAGAAGTAGCGCCGCCGCCAGATCCGTGTACAGCAAAATCATACAACATCCGTCACATTTTGCGTGGGAGAGCCAAAGAGTGAGCATGTGGTAGTTGGCTTTCTCTCCGCCAAAGAAGGTATCTGGTGAGGAGCTACCCCAGTGGTAAGCTGTGGTCCGAGTTCGCGCATATCGCACAAGGTGGATGGGTCTTTCTCGCTACCACTCGGGAACTCCGAGAAAGGTACATCGAGAATATTGTCCACGGTAAAGATGGTCTTCGGGGCAATGGTTTTGTGAATAAATTCCTCGGCATTTTCAATTTTTAGAAGTCTAGGTGTCGCACTGGAACTGACATCGGCCGGCTCGGGCTGATTCTCGGAGACAATCAGACCCTCCAGTAGGGGCTGCGGCAGAATATTCTTCTACGCACCCAAGGGCCCCCCATACAGCTTCTATGTTGATCATTATTGATCATTAAACCCAGATCATTTCAAGTGAGCACAGAATCGGACAACAATTTCCATTGATATACTAAACTACACTCCTAGCTTGTTAGTACAAGCCCTGTGCTACTGCCATCTGCCTCCCACAAGCTCGGGCTCTTTTTTTGGCCATGTATATGTTGTAGTGGCTGCCTGGGCACCCTTGCCAATTATAGAAGGCGCTGATTCTGCCACAACCACCAACCATATTACTTAAACGGGTAGGTGGTGTGTTTCTGCCACAAAGTGGGGTTATATTAAACTAAACACATAGATATTTCGCCCTTCGGGGCATACGGTGAACTGAAAATATACAGAGAAGATTAGCATGGCCCCTGCACTAAGGATGACATGTCAAATCAAAGAGAAGCTACCTATTTTTTTAATTCACGCGACCTCACTAAAGATGGCAGAGTACGGGCGGTTTGCAAACGCATATTGATTGTTGTACTGTTCATGTTTTATAGGAGTCATGTGCCATCGCCGTTCGACCCTGCGCGTAGTCAGAATTCTGTGCAAATTGCTTTAAGCTCTATGTCCACTATCTAATTAGACTACCTTTATATTCTGCTGGGTCTGCCGGTCCTGTCAATTGGGTCATACAATAGTTACCGTACGAAATATACAAATTATTATCTACAAAAATACTAAATCTGATACGACACTGTCTAATAAGCTCTCATAAAAGTTCCCTTTCTTATATGTATTTATACTTCTATGGCGACTCAACTAGAGATGTAGGGATATCTCTATGAAAAGGCGGTAAACAGGCGGTCAGGATTCCCGAATGTAATTAAAATGAATTAGAAATAAAGTTTGGGTTCTCGGGATCTCCCGTCTTAGTTCCGCCTAAGCGGGTTTTCTTGAATTTGCCAAATTAAACGTCCTTCGGTATTTATGAGAAACGGTAGATGTGCTCAATTTATAATTCAGAAGCTCAAGTGAATATTTGTCATCTAATGGAAAAATGAGGTGATATTGACATGGAATGCAGTCTAAATTGATTCAACCCATTTGATGTGCAGCCAGAGGATCCCTGTCCAGCTCTGAAAGCTTATCTGCAACCCCACACCCAACACCTAAAGCCTATATATAAGCTCCATGAATCATTTATTCAACAAGCCTTTCAGAGTGCCCATCAGTCTCAGGTAGGCAGGCATCACCATACGCCAGTAAAGCCTTGCGGGACAATGCTGAGGCTAGACGGCGTAGTCGATCGCGGTGTATCTTGCCTGAAGTTGTCGCTGGGATTCGATTGACAGTCACAACGAGGTCGGGTACCATAAATGTAGGAAGCACTTCTTTCAGGGCGGAAAGCACAGTGGCTGCCTTTTTGCGACTCTCGATTGTCGAGGAAGCAAACATCTCATTATTTTCGTTTTGCATAGACTCTGTATAGACGAAGGCGACTAGCATGACGCCGTTATGACCAATATCATCCGATGGAGTGATAGCATCCACAGCCACTCGAGTTGCCGTGGGATATTGTCGTGCGAGCTGTCTTTCAACGTCCGTGAGGTCCATACGCTGCCCTCGGATCTTTACTTCAGTTACATCCTTTCGACGGATGTACTCAAGTGTCCCGTTGGAAGAGTAGCGAACGAGGTCCCCTGTTTTCAAGCAGCGATAGCCATGTGGCGCTGTAGGTCGGATTTGCATGAGCCATGAAGGGGCCGGAATGTAATTTTGGGCCGTACGAGCAGGGTCATTGAGATAACCCCGTCCTAGACTGGGACCTTCCAGCAGCAGTTCACCAACCCCACCAGGTGGTACCAGATCTTCGACGTTGTTGGTGTCTACGATCCAACAGTTCCATGTGTGAGTCGGCAGTCCAATCTCCCGGTAGTTTGAGTTAGGCTTGGTCAGATCAGCAAGCAAGGAGAATGCTGCGGTCTCCGCCAGTCCATACATGCAGTTCACCTGCACTCGTCCTTGCCATTTCTCCAGGTCAAGGGGACCCAGCGCCTCGCCAGCTAGAACCACAACTTGGAGGGAGGGGACCTGGTTGGGATCTAGAAGACGAGATGCAGACGGGGTCAGGGTGATGAAATTGGCGTTCAACATCTGAATAGCTTCGACTAAATTACTCCCCAAATGAAAATCTGGGGCTATACATAAACAAGCTCCATGAATCATGGCCCCAAGGTACTCAGCAACGCAAGCACCAAATGCATGGGAGCTAGACTGCAAGACCCGAGATGATGATGAAAGCGTGAGTTGAGTGGCTGTCGGCTGTGCCCAGGCAGTGCATACCGCAGCATGATCTATAATGACGACTTTGGGATCCCCGCCGGACCCAGAAGTAAAAAGGCCATGGCATGCATCCGATGGTTGTACGTAAACGGATTGAAGATGTGTATCTTTTCCTTCATCATCAGCCAACAGTGGCCTGTCTCCCACCACCAAAACAGGTAAACCCAGTGATCTTGCGCGATTCAGTTCAAGGCCAGAGGTCAACAAAAGCGGGGCTTCAATCTTTGCACAAATCTGTTTCACATAGTCGTCTGCAAACAAGATGTCCATAAGAAGAAAAGCGCCCCCCGCCTTCAAGATACCGAGAATGGCGACCGAAACCCACACAGATCTCTCCATAAAAACGGGTACTATCTTGTCAGGCTGTATCACCTTGAGCTTTACAAGCTGTGTTGCAAGGCGGGAGGAGTACTGGTCAAGCTGATGGTAGGTCAGATGGCCATCCCAAGCAGCGATAGCTGGCTCTGATGGGCGAGATTGGCATTGTGCTACAATGAGATCGTGTACACGGGCATGCACCAAGGAAGGAGGTGGTTGGACTCCTCTCTCCATCAGGTCGGCCAAGCCTTGGGGACAGACAGACCTGAGATCGCCAACAAGAGTGCCCCGAGAGCGACGATTAATGGCAGTCCGGAAAGAATGGCCTAGCTGGTACAACATCATGCGTGTCGTTTCGACGGAGATTGCAGAATGATCCACCAGGGCCTCCACATCTACACCATTTGTTCGGATCTCGCAGTTGATCACAAGAGGTACTTTGCGCGCTTCGATGCTTTGTAAGGCACTGGGATGCTTTTGTTGCCCTTGCCTGACGTTGAGTATATTCCCAAACAAACACCCTGCTGCTATATCTCCACCGAAATCGGATAATTCCCGAGTTGAGGATACACCGAATGTAGACCGGTCCATGATCTTGGTTTCCGTGTTGTTAAGCGCTTCGATCGCTAATTGCTGAGGATCGACTAACAGCCGTAAAGGCAACATGGGCGTGTTGGAAAAATCATTGCTTTCTAATTCAAGAGCAAGACCGAAAACAACATCATCGTTCCCAGTATACCGAGACAGAACGAGAGCCCATGCTAGGGCTAACGCCGCCCCAGCCGAGACAGGATCAAGCTCGCCACATGCGAGATCAATATTCTCCGTGAGTACTTCGAGATTCGATTGCTTGTATAGCGAAGAGACAATCGGGAATGTCGTTGCCGAAAAATCCTTGAATTCACGTCGCCAAAACTGTTCGCTCCGATCGAGGATATTCTCAGCCGATGAGGTATGGTTTCCATTGACTGCCATATTGAAGGCCAGGTGAGAGATAATTCAGAGTTGTGCCTATGTAACAGGGCTCACTCGCGGAGAGGTTGATCAAATGACTGGGTATTCAACCAGATAGTATAAGTGGTTGGGTGTTTGACCCCTGTAAAGCTCCAGGCGCGGAGCTACAGAAAAAGAAAAACGCGCCAGATTCATCAGATGTTGATCTGCAGAGTGCATGGATTCATTCCACAGGGCACCAAAACAACCTTGAGAATATCAAGCAAACATCATAAAAATGTGATAATGTGATATCTCGCAAATAAATTAAGCAATAAATTCATGTAATAATGAAATACCGTGGGTCCAATATTAATTCTGTCAATATCAGATACAAAATACGGAACCTGATCTGAAATTAGGCAGCAAGAGAAGAAGACCTTCGACCTCACTACTATGTATGTAGTAAGGGATTCATTGATGATGTAGCCCTGCATGATGGTGGAGAATCTGAGTACGATGTTAACCAGTGAATGAAGCCAATCAATAGTACAAATGTCGAACAAATAAATCGGTTGCCTGTTATTGGGCTTAACAGAGCATTTACCCTGTCCCTGCCATGCTTCACTCAATTTCATATTGGGATTATTGGCTGGCAGAAAGATCCTTCATTTTAGACTCCCATCTTACCTAAATAGGCAGACATAAACAAGGGAACCCGGAAAGCCAGTACGTAGTATATACAAATGTTTCTGAATTGCCAACTCCTTTGGTTTCACTGTGAAGGTGTACGGAGTAACTTATGTGTAGATGCATTAAATTAATGTAGGTGTTGAGAGAAAATGATTTCATTGTGATAGGATCTGCGTAGATGCATTAAATTAATGTAGGTATCGAGAGCAAATGATTTCATTATGATGGGATCTGCGATCGGTGAACTATATCGTCCAGCAACTATCCATGGAGTTTTGATTTAGCACACCAATTGAGCACTTTGTCGTGCCTAACATAAAGTGTGCCGGTTACGTATTGTTGTGATTAGTTGCTAGATGCAATGATGAATTAGGACCAAGTATATCCTCGGTGTTTTTGTTTCACATCTAGAATCTACAAAGTAGTGCCACCTAGAAATTCCTCAGAATCCTGTGAAGATTATACAAGTCATTCACGGCCTGCTGTGCGAGGTCTTGATAACCGTGGAAACTTCGACGGCCCGGTCCGCGACGGTGGCTACCGAATTTCTAAGTGACTTTTAGTAAATCCTATTTGCTATAGGTAGAAAATAAGAAACAGAAGTATTCTACTCCGGAGTACAGGGGGTATCTATGTTGTAAGGAAATAGTCTATTGAATGATCCATCATAATCCAAGTCATAAACCTACTGTTATACGGAGTACGGAGTACTCCGTTCATACTCCGCACATTGAATCCGGTTGGATAGCAAGAATGCTAGTGAGATCTGTTGCACAGCATATATGAGCTATTATTAATCATGTTTTAAGGACAGAATTACTGAGCCTTCAGTTGGGAATCTAGTTGCCCGGGCACCGACTTGAAAATGAATGATGAACCTATGAACTCCTAAATCGTCTGCTTATGCATCTTGGCATAAGGGACGCCTCCCTCTGCTGAGCTGGGCTGCTTGATCAACACCTCTGCTACCTATAGAGAGACAATAACCCTGTCTGTTATTACCCCATAACTAAGCCCAAACACAATGCAACGGCCATAACAGACAGCTGGTGAATGCAACACAGGTGCATGAAAGATCAGCAAGGGGCTATATACAGTACGATTCGTTATCATATACTCTTTCTGAATTGGCCCCTTGTTTCTTTAATTTCCAAATATCTCAGCGTAGAGCGAGTTTGAACTTTTGAGTTATACTTTCTTATTTGCTCGTTCTTTTTAAAAGGCGACACCGACGTTTGGGGTTTAGAATAGCAAATTTTATGGTCATCCGAGTGTGAATCGACCCTGAACTCCCTTGCGGGCTGTCAGAATGCCGCTAGCTGGAGAAGTGATTGGACTTGAGACAACGCCACAACGTGGTACATCGAGTTCAGACTTTCATGATTTGAATGAATTACCTACTTGTGTCGATAGGAGTTCAGAAAAGTCCCACACCCTGGCAGAAGGTGACGAGAAGGAAAGTTTGAGAAAGCAGCAGGTCGCTAAGCTAGCCCGCAGTTTCTCCATTCAATCAGGCCAACAAAAGCCCCATTTCCTACAGGGTGATGATCGCGAATCCAATCTTAATCCTCTTAGCCCCAACTTCAACGCTAAGCTATGGGCGAAGGCATTCTACGATGCACGACACTCCGCAGAGGGTAGCAGCTCGCGCCGAGTTGCGGGATTTGCGGCCAGAGACTTAGATGTTGGTGGCTACGGTATTGGAGTTGACTATCAGATGAACGTGGGAAATGGGCCTATAAAGCTGCTCAAAGCAGTCGGTGACTTCGTCCGAAAGCACGCAGCAAACGGACACCAGGTCAAGATCCTCCGGGACGTCAATGCATTGGTTCTCCCTGGCGAGCAGTTGTGTGTATTAGGTCCACCGGGATCAGGCTGTTCAACCTTCTTGAAAACAATCAGCGGCAATACATACGGGCTCAACGTCGGGCAGAGTTCCCATTTGAATTATCATGGTATTACTGCCAAGCAGATGGACAACGAATTCCGTGGAGAGGCTGTGTATACCGCAGAACTTGACCACCATTTTCCCAATCTCACAGTGGGTGATACGCTCTATTTTGCAGCCCTTGCTCGTGCACCTCGTATAGTTCCAAGTGGCATGAGCCGCGAGGTCTACGCCCGTCACCAACGTGACGTCATCATGGCCATGTTTGGAATCAGCCACACAATCAATACCAAAGTTGGCAGCGACCTTGTGCGTGGTGTCAGCGGAGGAGAGAGGAAACGGGTGACAATTGCAGAAGTAGCCTTGACCTACGCCCCGCTGCAATGCTGGGACAACAGCACCCGCGGCTTGGATAGTTCTAATGCAGTGGAGTTTTGTAAAACACTGCGGATGCAGAGTGATGTGTTCGGGATTGCCTCGTGCGTTGCAATCTATCAGGCACCACAGGCCGCCTACGAGGTAAGAAATACGAGGGGCTTGGCTTACTCTTTTCTTCAACTCATACTAATAAACTCTAGTGCTTTGACAAGGTGACTGTTTTCTATGAAGGCAGGCAGATATACTTTGGCAGGGCTTCAAGAGCCAAACAGTACTTCGAAAATCTTGGATTTGAATGCCCAGAAGCTCAAACAACTCCTGATTTCTTGACTTCGATGACCAGCCCTGTCGAGCGAATTGTCCGACCTGGGGTGAACACGGCGGTCCCCCAGACCCCTGACGAATTCGCCGAGTGTTGGAAGAATAGCAACGAGCACAAAGAACTCCTCTTGAAGATTGAGGAATTCAATTCCCAGCATCCATGTCATGGTGATGATTCAAAGCAATTTGCCTTGTCGTTGAAGAACGACAAGTCACGGTGGCAGCGCGAGAAGTCCCCATACACGATCTCATATGCGGCCCAGATTCGATTGTGCCTATGGCGAGGCATGTTACAAACCAAAAATGAGATTAGTGTCCCCATCTCTATGCTCACAATCAGTGCTGTGGAAATCTTGATTGTCTCCAGTCTTTACTACAATATGCCAAACGACACTTCTTCCTTCTTCCTCCGCGGCTCATTTATCTTCATCATGGTTCTTCTGAACACCTTCACTACCTTGCTTGAAATCATGACTCTCTATGCCAAGCGTGACATCGTGGAGAAACACAGTCGATACGCATTTTACCATCCCAGTGCCGAGGCGCTTGCCGCCATCATCACCGACTTACCCTATAAAATTATCCTCTCTATCTCCATGAATGTTATCAGTTATTTTATGGCCAATCTTCGACGGGAGCCTGGCCCATTCTTCTTTTACCTGCTGGTCTCATTCACCTGTATGATGTGTCTTTCGATGGCATTCCGGCTGTTAGGCTCTATCACCAAGACCATGGCTCAGGCTATGGTGCCGGCATCAATCCTCGTCCTTGCAGTATTGTTGTATACTGGGTTCGCCATATCTGTACCAAACATGCGTGGCTGGGCATCATGGATCCGGTGGATCAATCCTGTATCTTACGCCTTTGAAGCATTGATGACGAACGAATTCCATGGGCGAGATTTTCCATGCACTGAGTTCGTGCCATCTGGACCTGGTTATGAGCATATTCTTCCATTCCAACAGACCTGCACAGCACATGGGTCAGTTGCTGGCTCCGCCACGGTTAGCGGCATAGCTTTCTATGAGAGTTCCTACTCTTATTCATATGGGCACCGCTGGCGAAATGAGGGCATTATCATTGCATTCATGGTTCTGTTTGCTGTTGTCCACCTTTGGCTATCTGACATTATTAGTGCCGAGCGCTCCAGGGGTGAGGTGCTGGTGTTCCAACGGAGCAAGTTGCTCAAAACAAAGGCGAGGCCTCAGAAAATCGACGAGGAGCATTTGGGAGCAGAGCTGATCCCATATGAAGCATCGAGTGATTCTAACTCAAAAGTTAACGTTGAGAAGCAACAATCTGTGTTCCATTGGGAAAATGTTTGCTACGATATCCAAATCAAAGGCGAAACTCGGCGGATCTTGGACAATGTTGATGGATGGATTCAGCCGGGAACATTGACTGCACTGATGGTAAGTGTCGTATCCCTACCTTCAGCATCCCGCACGAGAGAAGCTAAAAGTCTCATCGTCTCTTGAAACCCACCAGCTAGAATGAATGAATACTAACCAGAGGTTGTATCAGGGAGTTTCTGGAGCCGGCAAAACGACTCTTTTAGACGTCCTCGCCAACCGCGTCACGACAGGTGTCATCACAGGGGACATGCTTGTAGATGGCCTAAAGCGTGATGAGTCGTTCCAACGGCAAACAGGATATGCCCAGCAGCAAGATATCCATCTTCACACCTCCACCGTGCGTGAGGCACTGGTGTTCAGTGCCCTACTTCGACAGCCGCCAAATTATACACGCGAAGAAAAGCTGGATTACGTGGATCAGATTATTGGCTTGCTAGGTATGGAGGAGTATGCCGATGCTGTCGTTGGCGTGCCTGGGGAGGGACTTAACGTCGAACAACGGAAGCGTTTGACAATTGGGGTTGAGCTTGTCGCACGTCCCAAGTTGCTTGTCTTTCTTGACGAACCGACGTCGGGCCTGGATAGTCAGACTTCATGGTCTATTTGCAACCTGATAAAGAAGCTAACTCGTAACGGACAAGCTATTCTTTGTACAATTCACCAACCGTCTGCGATGCTTTTCGAGTGTTTTGATCGATTGCTCCTCCTGGCAAAAGGCGGGAGAACAGTTTATTTTGGAGAAATCGGCCAAAATTCAAAAGTTCTCATGGACTATTTTATTCGCAATGGCGGAGAGGCCTGTCCAGCGACAGCCAATCCCGCGGAGCATATGCTGAAAATTATCGGAGCCGCCCCTGGAGCACACACTGAGGTCGACTGGCATGCCATTTGGCGCGAAAGCCCGGAATACCAGAATATTGGAAAGGAGCTTGCCAAGCTGCGAGAGCTCGCCAGTGAAGCTTCGGGTGTGGTAAATGCACACGATCCATCCAGCTATCAGGAGTTCTCCGCGCCGATGACCACGCAATTTATGGTCGTTGGGCGTCGTGTGTTCCAACAGTACTGGCGTTCGCCTGGATATATCTACTCCAAAGCGCAGCTCGCTATCCTCTCGGTAGGCCACAACGCAACATCCTATGCACTTCCGAAGACAAAGGCAAAGCTGACCTAACTGCCCTTTGTAGGCATTGCTTATTGGATTTTCCTTCTTCATGGGGGACAATACTTACCAAGGACTGCAAAATCAGATGTTCGGCGTTTTCATCGTCTTGTTCGTCCTGATGCACCTGATATTTCAGACACTTCCCGCCTTCGTGACGCAGCGGACATTGTATGAAGCCCGCGAGCGCCAGTCAAAAACATACGCTTGGCAAGCCTTCCTTTTAACCAACATGTTCGTTGAGGTGGCGTGGTACATGGTAAGCGTGGCCGAGCATCCCTTCTCTCTCGAACAAATTTTTTTCTGTGTTGCTTTCTCCACTACCCAATACTAACATGCAATACTGTAACATTAGCTCCTGTCCGTCTTTACCTTCCTTTGCTGGTATTATCCTCTTGGCTGCTATCGGAACGCCGAGGTGACCGACTCGGTGAATTCTCGCAGCACCCTCATCTTCCTGCTAATCTGGGTCACTTTCATCTGGGCTAGCACGTTCGGGCACATGCTGATCTCGGGTATTGATAACGTCGAAGTTGCCTCCTCCATTGCCACTTTGATCGTTTTCGTCTGTTACTGTTTATGCGGTCTGCTCGTTCCCCCATCCGCAATGCCGCACTTCTGGAAGTGGGTCTACCGCGTAGATCCGTTCACATACCTTGTCACTGGATTCATCTCAACCAGTCTTGCCCAGGCACCCATGCACTGCGCTGACAACGAATACCTGACATTCATTGCGCCGCAGAATCAGAGCTGCGCTCAGTACATGCGGGGCTATATCAATGACAATGGCGGTGCCCTCCTCAATCCTGACGCAATTGGCAACGGCGAAGACTGCCGGTACTGCCAATTTACCGAGACAGATCAGTTCCTTGCAAATCTCGGGGCTGATTTCTCGCAGCGGTGGATGGCCTTTGGTGTGCTGTGGGCGTATGTGGCATTCAACGTTTTCATGGCGGTTTTCCTCTATTGGCTTCTTCGTGTGCCGAGGAAGAGCAAGAAGTAGGGACCGCGCTCCTGTATGTGTATGTGGAAGTGTGTGTCCGGGCATCGATTTTTCATAAGAAGCAAGGTTGGAGAGAAGAGTTGCATGGAAAGATGGAAAATCTGGATGGTGGCCTCCTGGTGCATCTTAAAAAATATTGTCTTTCAGTTAATTGGTGGAATATGTAGTTTGTTAATTGTTATAGATCCCCAACCAAACGAGAATATCACCAACCCTCGTATGTCCAGGGTAAGAAGGGTCGCATCTTGTTTTTGATAGGAAAGCCTGTTCCCGTGACGCTATAGAATGCATGTGTTCTCATAATTCTCGTAGCGAAAAAAACCCCTTTATACATTCTATTTCACACTTATTTAGTTGCAGTGATCGTCACTACCTATGAATCCCACTAGTTACCTACTTGTTAGTTAGTATTTCAATAAAATGCCCAATTGAAATTCCATTACCAAGTAGATTATCAGTCACCTCCGAAGTATAGCTATTGATATAATGAAATAGACCAAGTATGTAGTGTGTGTGTGTGTGTGTGTGTGATTCATATAGAAATGGGCCGTTGGATGCAAAAGATATGACGAAGAAGACAAACAGTGCAAACGCACGTGATCATATCTTTCAACGGAGCTGTCTGTTTAGAATGTTCTCTGAGAAGCCGTGCTTGTTAATTTCAGTGTTCATGGGAACGGGGGAGCTTCGGATGCGTCATGCTAATTGATCTGTACAATCATTTGACGGTTTTTCCTTTGTGCACCCGCCGAACTGGCACTTGCGCCGGTGAGAATTGAGTTGCATTCAAAGATACCCAACTTCCTTACGTTCTGTGCTTCAATACTTCTTATGATACCCATTTTTTCGGACAGATTTGACTATACCTAACCTTCAATTACTCTTCACAACCTAATCTGGCAATCCTTTTCATTTTACCATGGCGACACCCTCCGCAAAACCTGGCGCAACGCCAACTCATCTCTCCTCTCCCCATCCAGCCTCCGCTCCTCTCTCTCGATCTCTCGCCCATAAATCGCCTTCAATGAGAACACCGACAGGCTCAGGACCTGCCCATGCGCATCACACGAGTGTCTCGTCCCACCAATATGCTACCCCTCTCGCCGTCCCTAGTGGGGTTGACGACACTGTCAATTTCAGCTCACCTTCGGCTCTCTTGGCGCTTGGTGGATATACCGGCATCAGTCCTTCTCCTGCAGTACATGATGGTCTTGTTAGTGCGGGCATGAACGAGAGCGACATTCAAAACCTCGGGATGCAGGGAATTAAGCTTGGAGTCGCGCGCGACAATGACGAAGAGCAGAGACATCGCGTCGAGGAGGTCGTTCAGCTTCTGCGGGCCCGAGTCTCTGGTAGAGGAGTTTCACGCGAAAGCGTGGAGCGGCTAAGTCGACTCGAAGATTTCGAGTCCATTTGGCAGGATGATAATCTCAACATTGCCGGTAACTTCGTCGATCTTGAGATCGATTTTTACCCTGGCCAGGATGTCGTCAAAGACGTCAGTCTACGATATGCCACGCCTGAATACACGGAAGGTGTGCGACGCGAGGAAGCGACAGCGGTCTTGAAACGTACCCTCGCCCAGTCCCCGGAAGACGCCGAATGCGGGAAATGGAGATCACTTCAAAAGTTCCATGAAAATCTACAATGGCTTGCAAAACTTGACAAACTCAGCCAGGAGGTGAACTGCTTTGAAGCCCTGGAGAATCTCGAAGAGAACTTCAGGCGGATCTGGGTCGAAGAAAGCAAGAATGGGAAGCACGGCGGCGAGTATCAACATCTTTGCGCAGGTGTCCTCGGACGTCCCACCATGCATAAGGGGACTCGAATCGGGCTCGGGTTGGAATATTGGGTTGAACAAGCCAAAGTCCTGGATGCGAAGCGGAGTCTACCATCTCCGGATGCTATGGAGATTGACCCGCAACATGATCAAAGCTCAAAGGGCGAGTTGGACGATCAAGGCAGATCATGGACTGTCATGATTGAATGCGAGGAGGGGTATCCGTCACTGCGCATTTCAAAGGAATGGGTTGGGAGTGAAGTTTTTACTGCGGGTGAAAGCACTGAATTGCTTCCATCAAATGGTGCCGCTGGCTCTGTGAACTGGCTTGATCCTCCGCAGACCACACGGTTGACCCATGGCAACCATGACCCCATGGCGTTGGACTCTAGTATGCTGGAATCATCGCCACCCAACCGCCGGTTCGTCGGCAAACTTGAGCCCGCACTCGACGTTCCCATTCTTGCAGCCTCTGAGATTTATCGTCAGCTCGGTATGCAGCTACCACAAGAGTTTAAGATGATCACCTACGATGCATTGTTGGTATCGGAATCTTCACCGTTGACGTCACCGGTTTCATCCCCTCAAATTGGTCGTAGAAAGCGCCGGATGTCAGTGCATGCTGTTGACTCAAAGGGCGAACAATATACGAAACAACATAATTACACTTTCCAATCCTTTGAGTCCATTACTGGTTGCACCATCCGTGACCTACCCTTCTCGCACCCCCGACAGCTCGCAGATATCCTTCCGGTATGTATGTTCTTGCCCGATATTGTCTTTCACTAACCCGGTTTAGATCCTCCGGCAGTATGCCGTGTTGGCCAATTTGATTCGGAAGACGTTCCATCTTCCTTCCAACCAGGCCAACGCAACTGAGTCGTCAAATGCAACCCCCAAAAATACCCGCGCTGCTCCTATCCAAACCCCAGACCTCTTCGCCGGCCACGACGGGCCCCTAATTCTGAACAACGATGATCCTAACGAGGAGAGACTGAATCTGCTGCTTGGCCTGAGTAACTCGGATGATAGCAAGAATAACTCCGGAGTTGAAAGTTCAACTCCCTCCAGTGGAGGAAAGAGTTCCAATAAACTGTCCGTGGACGACGTCAAAGTCGACGTGACATTGCGTATTCAACTCGGTCAAGCTCCTGCTCTCATGTTACTCATCACAGACCAGAGGAACCACAACGAGACTCCCGAAGCCGCCCGATCCATTCAAACCTCCAGACAAATCGCAATTTGTTTTGAAGTCGGGCTGAACGGCCATATCTCAGTTGTGGATACTGCTGGATTGGTGGACGGGGAAACGGGCGGTGACACTGAAATGCAGGGCATGGATAACCATGATTCAGGGCTCCAGGATGTACAAAAGAAGATTGCCAGAGTGCTCGAGGTCTCGCAAGACTTGAGCATCTTGGTTGAGTGGGTACTACGTTGGATGCAACAGCGGGCTGGCAATGGGTGAGATCCAGTGCCAATGACATACAAATTTCTTATATTCCCAGGCCAAAGCATTTCTAGTCTCGCAATTTCTCATGACTCATGCTTGACATTGATATGCAACCCGCTAAGGTGCAGTTGTACATTGGTCGCAATGTACACTGTGGTTAGTGTAAGACCTTACTAGCTGAAGTATCAGTTGGCGCTCGGGGTACTCTGCCATCCAAGCGGCTTCGGGCCTTTTCTGCCACATGATCTATATAATGCGAGCTACTGGTTGGCTACTTGTCACCAGTTTCCACTTGATTGCAATCTGAATATCTAATTTCAAGGTAATCTCAAGCAAATACTAGATCACCTAATGTGACTGGTGATATATATAATCAACATCATTTGATTTCTAAAACAAGTTGGAACTTCCACAAAGGTCCCAAGGGTTTCTAGCTTTGTATATCGGTTTACTAAATCGCCGGGGCGGAGAGAGCCTCAAGATACTATGGTTCCATGAGAACTCTTAATTCACTTGCGTTAAAGTGAACACCACCGAACTACATGTTTGCTTCCGCTTCGTGTATTCCACATTCACCACCTATCTCGAACTTGTATGTTTTAATGGACTTTGTAATGTGGTATTTCTTTGCTCTTCTTTTATCCTAAAAGTTAAAATGAAACGATCTTTGCAAAATAACGCATATGGGCGTATACCTATGCATGTGTACCTAAGCAAAATGTGGCCGTTTGTTTCAGAGTCGATCAGATAAAGTCTAGGCCCTAAATATGATGCGGGGTTCGTGGGCCCGGGCCTACATTGTGCGTCACTTCTAGGGTTCTAATGAGTTACTTGGAACATGACACTATACAACATAGATCAGGACGAAATAGTTGACTGGATGGTTAGAGTGAATACCAAGATGTACTGTGCCTAGATTGATCAGTTGTATCTGCATTTTAAGAGAGTTGGGCGTCAATAAGAGCCTATGCCGATCATGTTATACAATGTTGTACAGAGTAGACGCGTTGACTGTCTCAAATCACAGCCGAAGGCCCAGATGTGGTATACTTTAGACCTGTATAATAAATAAATGAGGCATTAGATCTCAATTTACCCGGTCAACGGATCTGCTAGGTGCAAGGGATATCATACCAGCGACATTTATTGGCTTATGAGGCATTATTCGGATTTTGGTTTTAACACGCATCAGAAAGTGAGTGTTTAGCGCCGACCATTCGTGTGGTTAACCATAAATGGACGCTTTGAGGCTTTTACTATTGCCCCCAAGTTATACGGGGCTATCTATGTCATAGTCCACGACTACGACTTGGCGGTCAAGAAACCAGCTTTTCTGTCCGTATTTTCATTTTTATTATATAACACTTGTTTTCATTTTGTGTGGATTATGGAAGCGAGTACTCCGTACTCTAGGATCTAGATAATCAAATGTGATTATAGGCTGCGAAGTTCGATGCCAGTATAAAGTCTTGGCATGAGGGTTACTATAATTGAACGGCCTGGTGATCTGTATCAGAAACAGTACTCCGTATTTTGTTGAAGATCAAACTGGTCTATGGAGTATCCATGTGTCATATCCACCCCTCGTTCCGCTTTTGAGAATTCCGATGAGGCATTTTGCTGCATAGTTTCCCTATAAAACGCTCAAAATATGTTTGTAGGATAGGGAAGTCGGCTATTGCTGGTAAGATATGGACCATCTGACCTGATTTAAATCGATTCGGCAAATAAGGAGAAAGCAATTACGTGAATATCAGTTGAATGTGCGATATTCTAGTCAGCGCGGTTTGTCACTGGCGCTAAGAGCCAATGAGAGGGGAGCGATAAGAAAGGGGGTCGTCGATCTATAAGGGATTGGGATTTGATATTCGACATTTCATCTTATTTCTCTCATTTAGTATGCACGAATTATATTGATTTATTTGCATTTTATACCTTTAATAGACTACATTTATTCACTTTATAGGTAGAGTACTTACAACCTAGTTAGGTACTACGATGTACGCTACATACTGGTATGCTGTACTCCGTCCACAGTACTACGCACAGCCCCCGGACTTGCCCGGTGACTAAGCCCGAATCTAGATGTCTCAGTATTCATGGATGCTATTAATATACCAACTTCGTACAGTTCGAGGCAAACTCTTCAGATTTTATGGCTCTAAGTTACTCCGTAGATAATTCGGTATTGCACTAAAACTATACGAAAACCAAAACCTGGAGAAATGAGGACAGGGCTGAAGATCGGAACCTCAGCCACTCAGTCACCTTGGATTCCTGAAACTCCCGACATTTGCCAGTCTTCCATTTGCCGGAGAAAATACGGGGGAAGGAGATCTCGTCGCCACTTTTATTATTCTTGGAGAATCCCTGACCTAAATTTCCCGAGATGCATCTCTTGTGCACCCACATATAAGAATATTAAACTTCGATCTCTGAGTGTTCTTACCTAAGAAAACCCATCCAAAATCCCCCACGGACTTGTGACTCTTACAGTACATAATTGAAATCACACATATGAATAACCGAAATGCCTCGTTGACCTATAATACTGCCTTGATTCTCTTATCCATGGCCGGTGTCGGGGTGGTCCTCGCAAAATGGTCTGATTGGTCGAACTGATGAATCGCCGGGGGTTTCGAGAACGTTTTGCCACGGTCCACCCCACTGGCCTGAATATGACTTGATCGATCCCAGTTGCGGCGTGGCTGGCTTCTCCAGTCAATGGAGTTTGTGCGGACCTTGTATTACAGAGGTATAGTGGATGTACTCTGTACCGGTCCGACTCGCGTGATAATGTACATATGGATTGTGTGGGTACCTGTCCATCCTGCTGCAGGAACAAGATATCCCAAAGATATCGAAAGGGCGCGTGTATGTTGTAAAGGGTATAGTATAGGTACGGAGTACTTAGCAAAACAACGACGTTCTAGCCATATGACATGCCATGCGATAACGAATCGCGCTATTGTTATTTGGTGATACCTCCGAGGGCTCTCAGGAACGGCGGAGTACTTAGCCGTTCGCGTGATACAGTTCTGATAGCTATTCTCGCGACGCGCGCCTGATTAAAATTGTAAGATAAAAGCATGTATATTATTACAATCTAGTGGGGTGAAAGAGTCCATCTAACCAATTCACCTTGCTTTTTCGTCTCGAATACACTTCCCCCATGCACTTGCGGGATTTGCACCTGATATGTGCTCGGCCCGGGGGTCCTGGCGGCGGTTGCTAAGAAGCGTGACCAACCTATCACTATCTGTTTAGCACGAATATTTACAATTTGAGGGCTGGGAAGATGTGTATCTGAGTGGGATGAATCTCCGGATAAGACGTGGAGGTGCTCTATTTCGGAGAGAATTCCGCAGGATAAGAACACCAAATCTGGGAAAGGCCATGCGCTATGTTCGGCCCTACATCTAACATACCCTGTAATCCGTCCCTATCCTATATATCTTATCGGTCCAACGGGAGAAGAAGGATTGCTCATATTATTGCATTTCATAGAGTTTCATTACAAGACCAGACGGCTGATTGGGCGCTAGTTAGGGCTATCGCCAGTCAGCACACACGGAGACTTGACTGGTTCGGGTGGCGGGAGCGGTTTGGTAGACATCAGAAAGATGCGGAGGTGAAAGTCTGGAGAAGAGCTACAATTGTGCGGGAGTACGGAGAAAACGGAGAGAATATAGTGCTAGTGGCATCTAGATTCGAATATAATACATCAAAATGGTATAAGAAGTAGATCTTTCGGCGAGGACCGGCAAAGAGTGTCTAGATGATGCGAAGATGATGACACGGAAGTTAACGAGTGGCGCTGAATTCGGTAAAAAGTTGAAACTTCAACTTTCACAGGCTATGGCGTTCCCCTCGGCTGTAAAAAGAAAAAAGAAAAAGGTGCTTTTGACATAGTCGATGTTTCTATTTCGATATTGAGGCATTAAAAATGTGTTATATTGGAATAATTGGAGGTATTTACGGACTAAAATAGAGTGAGGCCTTTTTTTTTTCCTTTTTCCCTTTTTCTTTTTTTTCTTTTTTTTGTTTCCCTAACGACAACCGGTTTTAGGAGAGGGATTGCCGACTACGCGCACCCTTTGTATGAGGTACTTTATCGGTACCCCGTATCGGGCCAGAGCTTTACAGATATAATACAGCGCTTAACCCTTTTAGGAAGTGGCTGAGCCGCGCCTTCCTGATTTTGCCAAGAAAATACCAAAAAATACCAAAAGATTAAAAAATTAAAAAAAGAGTTTCCCAAAAAAGAAAGTCAGTGACTAAATTTAAATTCTTTAAATTCTTTTTTTCCCAAAGGTTATCATCCCTCTCTTGCCCCTCCACATCTTTAAAACTCATTCTCTCCTCCTTTGGATTCTCCCATTCAATTTGCTTTTCCATTCTTGAGGTCTCTTCGTGTTTACCTTCCTTCGGGACTACCAAAAGTTGCTTGATTGCTTGACCCGTTCACACAACACACATACCCATATTCATTATGGTACGAGTCATCGCTTCCTCGCTATGTGGAACCAAGTCTGACCTTTTCTTCTTCTCTACAGGCGTCCGAATCTGCAACTGTCGTCTCCAACACGGGGAATGTGCGTTTGATTCTTGATTTTGGATTTCCACAATGGCCTTCGAGCCAGAGAGGAATGACATATACTGACTTGACGTGGGGAAACAGCTCATGAAGTACATGAACCTTGACCAGCGTGGTCGCGTTCAAGCTGAATACGTTTGGATTGATTCCAACGGTGGCACTCGCTCTAAGACAAAGGTATGACTCATCTCCAATCTGGGACCCAGGTTTTATCTCCTGTGGGCTACACACTGGACTTCAGAGATTGTGGTTGCTGCATGTTCTTATCTGGAATCCTCTCTCGGGCCCTCGGACCTCGATAAGCCCTGTGCACGGGGATTCTTGATTTAGCAAGCGACGCAGCCACCCGCCGTCACGTGAGATAGCGCTCCTTCGGAACAACTCACTAACTTGGATCGTTCACAGACTCTTTTCAAGCCCGTCACAAGTGTTGACGAGCTTCCCGAATGGAACTTCGACGGTTCCTCCACCAACCAGGCCCCCGGTGACAACTCCGATGTCTACCTTCGCCCCGTCGCATACTACCCCGACCCCTTCCGCCAGGGTGACAACATCCTTGTCCTCTGCGAGACCTGGGATGCCGATGGAAGCCCCAACAAGTTCAACTACCGCCACGAAGCCAACCGTCTGATGGAGACCAACGCCGACGAGGGCTTCTGGTTCGGTCTTGAGCAGGAGTACACTCTCCTCGGCACTGATGGGTGGCCTTACGGCTGGCCCCGTGGCGGTTTCCCCGGTGCCCAGGGTCCCTACTACTGCGGTGTCGGTACCGGCAAGGTCTACTGCCGTGATATCGTCGAGGCTCACTACCGTGCCTGCTTGTACGCCGGTATTAACATCTCCGGTATCAACGCTGAGGTTATGCCTTCCCAGTGGGAGTACCAGGTCGGCCCCTGCCCCGGTATCGATAGTAAGTTTTGCACCCAAACCCCGGGAATTGAGCATCTTGACTAACTGTTTCTCAGTGGGTGATCACCTCTGGATGTCCCGTTTCCTTCTCCACCGTGTCGCTGAAGAGTTCGGCGTTCGTATCTCCTTCGACCCCAAGCCCATCAAGGGTGAGTGGAACGGTGCCGGTCTTCACTCCAACGTTTCCACCAACGCCACTCGTGCCGAAGGTGGTATGAAGGTTATTGAGGCTGTCATGAAGAAGTTCGAGGCCCGCCACGTTGAGCACATCGCCGTCTACGGTGAGGGTAACGAGGAGCGTCTCACCGGTCGCCACGAGACCGGCAGCATCGACAAGTTCTCTTACGGTGTTGCTGACCGTGGTGGCTCCATCCGTATCCCCCGCCAGTGTGCCAAGGACGGCAAGGGTTACTTCGAGGATCGTCGCCCCGCGTCGAACGCTGATCCCTACCAGATCACCGGTATCATCGTTGAGACTATGTGTGGTGGCCTCTAAATGGATAGAAGGAATCATTTGGTCTTAGCGCTCCGATACCCTCGGCGTCAACCTGGGAGTCGGACCAGAGCGGCCTGACTGCGTGAGGGAGCCCCCATAGATGTTCTGTGATCTGCCTTTTCTCTCTTCCTCTTCCTGTCTTTCTTCTCGTGTTCTATCCTTTCCTTTCTCCCGGTTACAGTGTCCGCTTATTGCGTTACTGCTGGCCCTCCCTCGTTGCACCAGCCGCATATTTTTTTTTCTGTTTCTCTCGACTGCCCTTCACAGGGTAATGTGACACGTACAATAGCATAGAATATTCATGGATGGGAAAACCACACCATCGTTTATCGAGAGATATCATACCGATATCGTTCCTCTGGAGAATCGACAATTAATACCAAGTCTTAATTAACATTTGCACTGACCCTCACCTTCTTGGAGTAATCCTTGTGTTTGAGCCAACACCAACACTGCTTGACAATTGAGCGATGGTACTTTTCTGCATTAGTCCCATTGGTCTGGCCTAGATCGGAGTATCTCGCCAGGTCCTTCGTTCCACATGGGAGGATCGGGAGGATCTTGAACTCAATCTAGTATCACATACCAGCATCCAATGGAAGTGCCCTTCCTTTTTATAGATAGAGCATGGAGTGTATGACAGCCTCAGATAGCCGAAAACGACAAAGATCCAAGACGCGTGAATCTAGAATTCTTCAGTTCATTTAGTTGACTAGTCTTGCCTCATGAAGCAGAGTACTCCAAACCTCTATGCATTAGATCGCCTTTCCTTCTATATGGTCGATCCCTTCTATCCTTCTATAGAAGTCCCCCACAGCGACACAAGCAGCAGAATTAGAGAAATATAGCAACACTTTTACCGTTTCACAGCGGTCACACGCCACACCCACATACACCCTCACACACAAGTCTACCCAGATATCATCTTCCCAGCCTCAACCAACGTGTAACACCAGCCCCAAGACCATGCAAACCACGTTGACGCACCTCCCGCCTCGCAGCCCCATCAACAACCTCATCATCCCCATCCCCGCGGTACCTTCCATCAACAAAGCGCAACATAACCTCCATGAGCGCAGCCGAGAGAATACTCGCTGCCAGAATACCAATCATGACGAGGTTACTCTTCCTGTATTTCTCACGTCCCGGCGCCTCGTAGTCACTCTTCCACCCAGAATACAGCGCATATGTCGTGAGGATACTGCCCAGATTACCGAGACCGGAGACAACAGCCGACGCAGCAGCGACGCCGACCTCGCCGTGTCGAGGCTGGAAAATCTCCGTCGTCCAGGTCATCGTTATCGGGACTGTGGGGCCGAGTCCGAATCCAACGATTAGAAGTCCGCCGTAGCGTGGCCAGGGGTTTGCGTCTGTGCCCGCGTAGCTGGTTAGGAGGAGGCCGAGGATTTGGAGAAGGACCGGGATTGAGAAGAAGATTGCGCGGTGGCGGTGGAAACGGTCTGAGAGGGGGGTTACGAGGAGGATGGCGATTAGGTCCATCTGTAGTGGTGTGTTAGTGGGTGGATCATACCTTGGATGAAAGAGACCTGCAAGAAGACAGGGAAAGGGGAAGGGGAAAGAAAAGACATACAATCCAAATCGGAGCCGTCAACAGACTCAAAGAGATATCACTCAAAGTCGGATCAATAGCCTTGATAATCACGTTCGCATACAACTGCACACCAATACCAACACCCACAACACCAAAGTACATAATCAGCAGCGGGTAAAGTCTCCAATCCAAAAACACCGCGAGCAGATCCCGCAGCGTCCACGCGGACGAGTGATAAACGCGCTTCAGATCATGGTAATGCACGGCAGCATCGGCGCCCTTCAGCGCGGGCGCGGTGGTAGGTACCCAGCTCATCATCCAGGAGCGTTTTGGGGCTGGCTCGCCGGGCGGCGTGGGTCTGTCTGGTAGCCACCATAGCAGGCCGAAGCCCAGGGCGACGGTGATGATGCCGTAGATGAGGAACATCCATTGGAAGCCGACGAGGCCCTTGGTGCCGTCCATTTTTTGGAAACCGGCGGAGACAAGGCCGACTACGGCGGCGGAGACTTGGGACGCTGTGAAGTATTGCCCAATTCGTTTGCCGATGCGGGAGGGTGGGTAGAATAGAGTTAGGTAGTATGTCATGCCTGGCCACATGCCTGCTGTGACGATACCTAGGAGGAGGCGGAGGAGGCTGTTGGGTTTGTTAGATACAAGATATGAGATGATGGGGGTTTTCGGGGAGGGTTGAACGTACTAGAAACTCCAGGCTGCCTTCATTGCAGCGAGACAGCTTCCGATTAGACCTACGCTGATCACAATGCGGCTCATCCAGACGTGAGGGCTTAGGCGGGTCATTATTAGGTTGGAGGGGAGATCGAAGATCACATAGCAGACGTAGAAGAGTGCGAGACCAGTTGAGATCTGGTGGCGGGATAGATTGAGCACACTTGCAAGGTCATGGCCGGAGTCTGTGTTCATTGTCTGTGCCAGGCCGACGTTCGACCGGATAGCTGAACAGAGGAAGTAAAGGACCCAGAATGCGGAGATGATGCGACGGTCCAATTTTCTGTTGGATGTTAGATTCTGATATTGAATTGCTTTCTCGGGGATGCGATTCACCTGTAGATTCGTTCAATGTTGGCCACGCTGAGGTCTAAGGACTCATCATCATCTGAGGATGTCTGGCTTTGAGACGCTTCTGGCTGCTCGGAGATAGCCTCAACGGCGGGTTGCTTGTCGATACCGACAGAGGCATGTTGATGTTCGGCTGACATCTTGTCGCTTTATTATTATTATTATATTTGTATAAACTTTTTATTTGGCCTCTTTGCGGGCAAACAGTCAACTGACTGTACCAAAGCGCTGGCTAAAGCAGTGCTAATTGAAGGACACCAATGCCCGGGATATCAAGTAGATCGAGTGCTGTGAATTCCGAGTCAGTCAAATTCATTTTTGTATATTTCAATATCCTTCGGAAGAGCTCAATCCTTTACCGAGGTCATGGAAGCTCTACACATACCTTGACGTGAATCGAAGAAAAAGTAAGATTCCGTTTTCGGATCTGATAAAGAAGAGGGGTGTGGATCTTGGCGGAGAAAAAGCATCCGATAGCTACAGTCCCCAATATATAAGGAAGGGTTTATAGTCTCATGCACGGAGTCGCGTGACTCATAAGCTCAAACATCCGAGATTGAATTCCACGATTCCCGTTGAGGTTGAGACTGAGATTGGCGTTGAGGTTGAGGGAAAATCTTTCGGTCCTGTTTTCCCCAAGCTCTTCACCGAGGATAACCTTAAATCTTTTTTTTTTCTCCCGAGGCTATCCATACCTCCTATGGGTTTTGGTCCGCTCTACTTTGCACATGTTGTACTGTTATTTGTCTGTATATTTCTACTTTGGGTCTGGTCCCTTGCAAGCCATCAATTGTCAGCTGCTAGCTGCTAGCTCCTAGGATGCTCTAGACATACAATTGAGCTATATTCAGCTGTCAAATCAGCATGCCAAGCAATGACTCAGAGCTACTCTTGAAATTGTTCTAATTCTTGCAATTCTTAGAATTCCGGCTAGTATCTCTTTTATGTATTCTCATTATCATCGTGATCGTGATCGCCGGTCTCGGGGTTATCACGTGGTTTATCAAATATCCCAATCGGGTGATGGTACAGATGAAAGCTTCAGAAGCTTATTGCGAATAGTATTAAAATCGAAATAGGAGGAAATTGCCTAGGAATAATTTTATGGTTAAGAGATAGAATCAGGTGTTGTTTATAATGATATCTAAAAATGTGCTATACTGTACCAAAAAGTATGTATGTCGTCTAACATAACTTGATGCCCAAGGCTAAGAGTAGCATATCTAGTAATCTAAGGCAAAATGCAAAAGGTAGAAGGCTAAAATCAAAAAGGGACATTGAAGGCATATATGTAGTTTACCTACAACTCGCCAATTGGGTAGTTGCCAAATTAGATCCTGGTAATGTCCGTTTGTTTTGTTTTCCTTCACGTCACCTTTTCTACTATTACCTTTTGTCTTCCATGTGAAAGCCGATCTGTTATCTCTTCCAAACGTGTGCCTTAAAGTCTGGAGCTCAGAGGCCTGAGTATTTGCTAGTATCTCATCTTGTTTACCCCGGAGGATTCACGTCCACCACATTGACACGTCCATCCACAGTCACCTCCCTACGTGTCTGTCCGTTTTGTTTAAACAATCCTTGTGTCTTTGATCTTTAGATCCAAAATCAGATCATTCCTCATTACTCCTACATCAAGCACATCTGTCAGCTTGTCCCGAAACATTTCTCTTTACGCTACCCGTCTCGCTCCCAGCAACCACCCAGAGTCCGGTCCCCGACACCACTCATATTGCTGTATTGAGCAATCCAACAGTGACCATTTGGTCATTCGTGAATCTTGCCTCAATCCCTATACATCTTTATTCACTCACAATGTCTTCAAACATTGCGGGAACCGGGACTGATTCCCAACCCAAGAAGCGTTATGTCGTTTTCTCTGTCCGCCAAGTTCGCGGAAACCTGTGCAAAAGAATTCAAAAATTCAAAAGATTCTTGACCAATCTACGAATTGACAGGCGTTCTGGCCTTTCATCCGTCCGCTCTGGTAGCAGTACACCTGAAGAGCCCCTGATCCCGCATACCGACAAGACAAAAGAGGACATTGAGCCCCAGAAGCCTGCAGAAGAAGAATTCGCCGCGCAAATCCCAGAGGAACAAGAGGAGTTCAGCCCGGCCAAACATCTCAACTTGCATCCTAGTCAAGTCAGAAGTGGAAGTGGAACCACCGCTACCGGCAAAAGGTATTTCAAGTATTTGAGAGTTCCCCCCAAATTCCCCGGATAGAGGCAGTGCCGAGTCGACCCCCAAGGATACGACTAGAATCGATGCCTTCCCCAAGGGAAACTTTAAGAGTCCGTACATTGTTTAAAAAACTAAAGAGACAAACAGAACAGATGACGTTGCCCATGTCCCTCTCATCAACAGGTGGGACAATCATCCGAGCATGCGTCGAAAACCCAACCAGCCTGCGTCGCTTCATGAGTACTGGGACATGCAAATGCGTCTCCGCGGCATGCGCCATGTGCCGGAATCGAATTATTCAAGCTCCGAAACCGACGAGGTAAACTACAGATAAGGGGGTTACAACCCAGAAAACAAAGGAGACCACCAAGGAACATCTGGGATTTTACGCAGGGAACGAAGGAGAATGTCGATGAACAGCAGGCCCGATTAGGAAGGAAGTTCCGGGAAGAAGCGAAAACGTTACTATCCGGCAAGACCTACCGACGAAGGATGATCTGGGAAAGAACAAGAGATTTGATGACAAGCAGGATCTACCGGCTAAGAAAGATCCGGGAAAGAAGGCTATGCCTGAAGATATCAACTCTTCTTGAGCCTAAGAGTGGCTTAGGCAAAAATTGTTTTACTACAAAGTTCATCGTGTACTTTGCTGCCATTTGTATTTCTGTGTTTCATGTCTAGCCATGTGAGCAATGTCGGAGGTAACAAAAATAACAAAAATGGGCGACAAAGAAGCGTCTAATCACATTCAAATAGATGAATCTGTGTACTCGATGGCAACTACGGTAGCAAGCACACCAAAGAAATCTTTAATGGCCCCATATACAGGTGACATGTGTGCAATGACTGGATTTAGGAGAACTGTTGTTATGGGGTTCTCAGTACCCCGTATATAAAAGGAAAGGCTCTTGTTTCTTTCGGGGAAACCATGTGCTTTTCTTCAAAACGTCGACCTTCTCCAATAACAAAGCCCAAGCTCTACCACGAGACTAGGAGTCTCCCGGAACTGAATAAATCAACTCAATATACTAGTCCAACAGTATGGACACGACTGATTTCTATCTCAACAAAGCACCACTCGAGTCTAACCAAATGGAGTAGAGCAGTGTCACGAGGATCGCTAAGCCCTAAAGCCAAGAACACCTCCAGACCCTTCACACCGGCGTTATTAACAAAAAGTCAGCCTAGCACCAAGCCTAAATGCCTAGCGCAATTCCCACACCCCTCTTCTTAGTCCTATCCCGCGAGCACCCCGTATATCAACCCAAAATAAGCGGCTCGAGTCCGCGCCAAGCGGCACCACCTCGTATTAACGAGCAACACGCCAACCGCTACGGGTAACATGTCCCCCAAGTTCCCGCGAATACGAACAATAACCTTAAACAGCCTCGCTAGGGGCATATTTACCTTCTACTCAGCCGCGACAATGTAATTATACATAGTAAGGGTCCAGGGGAAAGCGACTTAAAATTGCACTTCCGCCCCGACTCCCACGACAGTTTCCAAAGCGAGAGAGAGGACGAATAGTGTACTATTTCACACAATCTCATAAGCTATCAAGCTCTATACCTCTATACTTTCTCCAAAATGCTCTCCCCAATTTCATTTCCCTCCTTCAAAACCCTAGCCCTGTCCCTCCTCCTCGCAAACATAGCAACAAGCACAGACACCAACGAAAACGAACCCCAACTCCTCTCCAACATCTCCCTCGTCAACACAGACGACATCTTCTCCCTCTACAGCGAGAACCCAAATCTAAACGCCCGCGCTCTAGAATGCGGAATCGGATACAGCGAATGCGCCTACGACACTTCCCGCTGCTGTCCGATCGGCGGGAAATGCTGCGGGAACGGGTACTGCGCGAATATAGGTGAGACGTGCTGCACAGGCGGCGGGACGTGTCCGGTTGGATTCAAGTGCTGTGACGGGACGACGGGATGCGCGCCGCTAGGTGGGGAGTGCTGTTCCGGCGGTTACTACTGCCGGGCCGGGAAGAGGTGCCGTGTCTATAAAGGGGAGAAGGTTTGTTGTGCGTATAGTGGTTGTATTGGGGAATATGATGGCATTGGGTCTGGGGCTACGCTTACTGTTCCCGATGTTACGTCTACGGCGACGGAGACGGAGGTTGAGACGACGCGGGCTACGACGACTTATGTTGAGGTTGATTGGGATTATTATTATACTACTGTCTACTGGTATGTTGTTTTCTTGGTTTTTTTCTTTCTTGGTTTGATGGGTTGGTTCAAGGGTGTGTTACTGACTTTGCTGGCTTTATAGGACTTACTGGTACTATTACTGGACTTCTTATGCACCCTACACTGTTCGGACGGTTACCTCTACCACCACAAGTACTCGCACTATCTGGTCTGTTTATGAGACAAACAGGGCTGAAGCGACGTCGTCGCTTAGCAGGAAGTCGACTCGTTACTCGTTCTCGACTCCTTACGAGGCGACTTCTCTTAAAAGCTCCACTGAGCCGGTCACATTATCTACCGGTGCTTCTGCTCCGTCTGCTACTGCGTCTGATTCAACAGATGAGATTGTTTCAGCCGGTCCAGTTATTGGGGCAAGTTCTGCCGAGAGTGTGGGCGTTAGTGGAACTGGCATCCTGGCTGCTGTCTTCATTGCCGCGATTGGTGGATTGGCCTTTGGGCTGTGAGCAGATAGGGTAGGACATGGTTTAGGGTAGTTTGAGATTGATTGGGGTCATTTGTGGCTGTGTTTTGTCGTTGATACCTTTGGCCTACCCGATGATTCTATAAATGCAAATTTAATGACTGTATGCCATAATTTTATGATGTGTCCATCGAGTATTTAAGATATATACTGAATCATGCATTGTTGATCATCGCAAAATATTTAAGTAAAACGAAATAAGAAGCTGCGTTTTCAAGGGGTTTGACTACTGTCAGACGAGCTATCCTTACGGTGCTCAACGTGAGTACCCTTTCGAGCCTCTATGTCCTCCATCTCACTGGGCAGCTTACTCTTCTTCTCTGAAACATAGCTAGCGCGGCGCAGGTGCTCCTCGGTGTTCTCGTAGTTGATGAGAAGCTCGCCCTTCTTACCGTAGCGGTGTGGCTCGTTGCGGGCGACAGAGACGACATTGAAGACGCTGGATGTCTTGTGGAAGATTGTATCCATCTCCTCCAGAGATCGGTAGGCAGTTTCAGGGTAAAAGAAGTAGACGACAGGGAAGATGAAAGCATTGCTATTTGGAACTGGGTTAGTGGTGTCGCAAATGTATTTCGCGTAGAATATACTCACATGACAGCAAAGATAATATATGTCTTGTACTTGATTGTGTCGAACGCAACAGGCGTGACCATGACAACCATGAAATTAAAGATCCAGTTACCTGAAGTTGCGAGTGCATTGGCGGGAGCACGAATCCGTAGGGGTACCTATCGTATTGTTAGTCGTGTTTTCGTGCAAAGGACTATAAAAGACAAAACCCTTACAATCTCAGCGGGATACAGCCAGGTCATTCCCAGCCAGCCAAAGGCAAAGAATGTGTTAAAGACAAACAAAAATACGGCCGCAGCAATACCGGGCTTGGTCTCGCCCTCAAAGCTTGTAGTGATGGCCAAAACGGCCATTGAAATCGACATACCAGCGGCACCGATCAACATCAGAACTCGTCGGCCCACTTTCTCAATAATAAAAATGGGGACCAAAGACGCCAAGAAATATTCAGTGCCGTTGCAGGCAGCTAGAATGCGTGATGTCAGGCCATCCATACCAAGAGAGTTCTCATAGATAAAAGCAGCGTAGTAAGTAATCAAGTTGATACCGGAAATCTGCTGGAACATCTGGTTGACGTAGGCAAGTACAACACGGTGGAAGTGGCGGTTCTCATCCATAGTGAGCAAGTCTCGGAAGCTGACACTCGAGGCAGCCAGGACTGCATCCTTGATAGCCGAAAATTCCGAGTGGACATAGGGGTCGTTTTCATCCAAGTCCAGAATCGCGGCGAGAACATCCAAAGCTTCCTGTTCGCGTCCCTTGAGAATCAGCCAGCGAGGTGATTCGGGGAGCGGCAACACGAAGAATAAGATGACAAGTGCGAAGACATTTTGGAAGGCAATTGGGAAACGCCACGCAACGGAGCTAGGGTCAAGGAAGGAGAACCCAAGATCAAGCCAATAACTGATGGTAATTCCAGCAGCAATCAGGGAACCCTCAAACATGACAAGTTTTCCACGGTGGTGGGACTTGGAGCATTCTAAGTAATGTTAGAATTGTGCCTCTTCTCTAATATAGCTAAATACTTACCAGACTGCCATGTAGGGACAGTAGAGGTGTTCATGCCATTGCCGATACCAGTAACGATACGGCCGACAATGAGATGCGGCAGGGAGTAAGCACTGGCCTGCAGCGTAGCCCCGATTACCATGATGATAGAGCCGGTGAAGATCGTCTTACGGCGACCAAGGTAGTTTCCAATCCAAATACAGAAGATTGCGCCGAAGAAACAGCCCAAGTTATAAGAAGCGATGGTGATTCCTGGTAAATTAGTATATGAATGGATAGAAGGTTACCATGGAGTTGCATACCTTGTGTAGTCGCGTTGCTACTAGTCGATGATTTTGTGTTAGTGGTGTCGATTTCGGGGAAGACCGTAACAAATGAGTTTAATGTCAAAAGGCCACCCATGACTCCTCTGTTGAGTGTTAGCAAAAGAAATACATTAGACTTCTCATGTATAGCTTTCGATCACATACTGGTCATATCCGAATAACCTGTGCAATTCCACGTTAGCGCGTACTTTGAACATGGATATCGAAAGAGCAACATACAAGAAATCAAGACCAGCAATAACACCGATCATGATATTCAGGCTCGTGCCCCGAAGGCCGAAGTATGGCTTCATGATGGCGGGTATAGTGGATAGGTTGCAAGTTGTAGAAGGAGGACAGACTGTATATAGTCAAGCCCTAAAAGCCAAGGTAGACTATTCACTGGGGTGAAAGCAAATTGCTTGAAATGGACAGACTGCAGCTAAGCAGAGAAAAGAAGATCCAACGACGGAACAGTCAGGTCCGGGGAAGTCCAGGCTTATGAACCCCAGAATCAAATAAGGAGGGATCCACATCCAACATGATATTTTGGAGCGCAAATCGGAAGTCATAACCAGCAAGACACAAGCCAATGAGAAGTAATAGCAAGGATAGCAAGGATAGCAAGGTTGCATCGGTGATGTCTATACCATGGCCTGATCGGGGGAAGCCACTGTACCCCATCTTCACGGGCTAGGCTTTGGGTGATCATCGGTATCCCAGGTTTTTACGGGATCCACCGAATAAATCGGCGTCAGAAGAGGTGCGTGCAGTTGGCCATGCGAGGGGTCTCGCATGGTCAAGTCGGTCTCCGTCCGGTATTGGTGACAAGTATGTATTGTCTCTATACGGTAAAATACAGATGTATTCGTGATGGGCGTCAGATCGAAAGCCTGGAGACTCATGGTCTCACCGGGTACTTTTCCACTTTTCCTAGTCTGTTTCCGTCGATGATATGGAGTGTATGACAGCTGCACGGTTCACAGGATCTCGCGTGGTTCAAGGTACTTTTGTCATTTTGAGATTTGGAATTGCACTGGAGTGGTATTTGACGAAAACCTGGAGATTCTCCAGTTCCCCCAGACTCCCCATATTTTTTTTTCTCCGCTGATCTTCGCCGGAGGGTCCCGGAGGGGACTACGACACATGTCGACTTTGGGACTTAACTTGACCACGCACGATTGCTGTTTTCCACCTTGCGCTCATTACATGATTTTTTATCTTTTGTTCACCGTTACTTCGCCAAGCACACTTGGCAGGGATGAATGTCAAGGGGTTTAAGAACCAAGGTTCCCATATGAGCCTCACGCCGGACCGGTATCAGGGCCCGAAAACTTGCTAGAGCCGAAGCCAGATGACATCATCGACCAAGTCCACACATGTCCAAAATAAGTAGGTGGTTCTTATCCTAACTTTGAACAGACTGCATTATTTCAGGCTTCTTACTTGTTCTTACAAAAAAAAAAAAAAAACTGTGCAGTTCGGCATAGGCCAAATCATGGGGTTGCCGAGTGTACGGGATGCCCGATTCGGATATGCCTGTGTGTATTACGTATCAATCTGCAACTCGGGTATTGACTCGATACTACCTAATTATGCGGACCATCGCTTTAAATGTCAGTTTAAGGTACCAGAGTGGTAATAATAATAATACTAACTACTATCCAATGCAATATCTCCAAGAGAGGCCCGAGTAGCCAGTTAGGGAATCCCGGATTCGGCCCACAGTACATCAGCCCCGTAATGACAGGGTAAATACCAATTTATAACAACATCCCTGACCATGCGACCATGTACTATGTTGTACACAGTAATAACGACGATCAAGGATTTAAATATCAATGATCGACAATGTGGAAGTTTACGTATGCGTGAATGACAGAATAATAGCATCCGGGCAGCTTTCAAGTTATCGTAAACAGGCTTTTGCCGACTCGGGAAGTTTGATCGAGTCAGGCTGCTCGAGCGAGACTTGGTGCCGTCATCCACTTATTTCTGTGATACAACTACAACCTGTTCGCCTCAGAAGATCTTACTCGCAGTCTACACTGAGTCAAGAAGGATGCACTAAATGGATGTTTCATTGAAATTGAACTTGCCAGCCAGATAACGATGATCGTTGGATATCTCCCCAGATCAGAGCCCTCCTGCCCAGACCCTCCATCCACAAGCTCATCCAGAGGCGCGTCGAGATCAATCGAGCTCTACAGAGCATGAAAGGTCTGAACAAATATCCTCCTTTGGAGACCCGCGGCCGGTCAGCAATCATCGTAAAAACTCCTGGGTGAAATCACCGGCTAACATTGAACACATTGAAAGATTTGTTTTTGTTTTTAATTCTTTTAGAAAAAGTGAAAGATGAAAAGCAGCAGGGACCCTTAGATAGAGCCCATCGTAACCGGAGAGAAAGGGAAGCCAAATTGCTATTGCCCTTAGAGCTTCCCAGTCGCCCCATTCTGACATCGAATTATGGCGTTTACCACAGGTCATCGTTGTCATCATGCCGCTTAAAGTTGAACGGTTCGCTGGCCTCTGGGCCCAGCAGATCAGGTTCTTCGCGATTGGGAGAGCCGGGAGAGAAAGCAGGTTCATCTTGAGGCTCTTCATCCTTGGGCGGCTGACGGCAACGGACAACGGTGTGGCCCACTAAAGGATGGTTAGCGGATTATCTCGAGGACTAAGCACGCGCGTGTGATCAACTCACTTTCTCCGCAGTTCTTGCACTGCACCTTCGACCAGTCTTTCGGCTGATCGCAATCACGAGAGTAATGTCCAGCTAAAACAGTAGGTGTCAGTTCTGTTTCACACAGTACACGATAACCACATAATAGGGAAATCTTCAGGGCATGAATCACACTTACTCTTTTCGCAGTTACGGCAGGTGACGGTCGAAAGATTACGAGGCTGATCACAGTCGCGCGCAATGTGGTCTTCGGATCTGCATTTATTGTTAGAATCAGCGATAATCCCAGGGCTCCGATTGTGATATTTCAACATACCCGCAATTGCGGCAGGTGCGAGGGCCACGGTCAGCAACATTGGGGCAATCTTTGGCAAAATGGCCAGCTGAAATATAGAAGTTAGCATCATGAAATATATGGATCATCTTGGTCAAGGACTTGTAATACTTTCGTTGCACTTCCGGCATTCAACATCAGCTGCAGATCGGGGCTCGGTGCAGTCAGAACCCCTATGCTCCACAGACCTTCATAAAAGTCAGCATTATCGAGCTCGTTGTCTGTATCAAAGTCACATACCCGCAATTACGGCAACCATGCTTGTTCTTGCGCTGCTGTCTGCAATCACGCACACGGTGTCCAAGCCCATCGCAGTTTGAGCACTTGATTTCCACACGCTCGTTGCCTTCCTCACGCTCCCGCTTGCAACTGCGCGAGATATGGCCCAACTCTAAACAGAATGGTTTAGCAACGTTCTGAGAATCTGTAATCAAAGTAGACACCTACCTCCACAGTTCAGACACTTGGGCACCTTGCGCTCGTAGGGAATGCCAGCGTTGTTCATGCGTTCGAGGTTTTCCTCGGCATCCGCAGGCCAACGGTCTCGGAGGTGGCCACGCGACGCCTTGGGGCTAAAAAAGAATCCAATCACGAACTCGCGATCAAGCACTCCCTGGAGATCGATAAGGCTCATGACATCGTCAACGTCAATCTCCTATAGGTAATATTCATTCATTAGTAATTCATTCCTGAGCATCAAAACGGCAATGATTGGTTACCATAGCAATGATGTAGACATTGAAGTCATCTTCGCGCATTTTTCTCTCGATATCAGCCCAAGTGGCGTGGGGAACTGCCTTAGAGTAGATTTTGAGTGCCTGGAGTTAGGTCAGCCAAAGCTCAAAACTTTCAAGGCACGTATGGATTCCTAGTACCTCGCGGAAATCATCAAGGTCCCTTTCGTCGCTAGCTTTCTTCATTGCAGCCCAAGCTTCATGGGGAAGCATGTCAGCAACAAGGTTGAGATCGAACTTGCGATTCTCCTTGCATTCCATCGTCTTGTGGCCTTGAGCCTGGCAGTTCTTGCAAACATCGGGGGGTCTCTCAGGACAATCAACAGCGGGGTGGCCTTCCTTTTCGCAGATACGGCAGGTACCCTTGAACACGCGCGGGTTAGGGCATTCGGACTTGGAGTGACTGTGTTTGAAGTCAATTAGCAAATTGAAGTACAAAATGCTCAACGATAACTCACCCTTCTTGGCCGCAGTTGAAGCATGCGCCCATCTTGCGAGGCTCGGTGCATTCGGCCTTGGAGTGACTATTCCAAGAAAACAGTTAACACTGTAACACACAAGCTGTTAGATAAGAACTTACCCTTCTTGGCCGCAGTTGAAGCATGCGCCCATCTTGCGGGGCTCGGTACACTCGGCCTTGCTATGTCTGCATTGTTCTCAGTACAATTGACCAAGCACATAGAGGTCAACCACTTACCCTTCCTGGCCACAGTTGTAGCAAGCGCTGTCACCACCACCGGCATATTCACCATATCCTCCGGTATTGCCATCACCGCGGTTGCCATAGGCATCGCTATATTTGAGCATTGGTTAGATGAGCTACCACAATATGACATGTAATGTGCAGGACCAACTTACCCTGCATTGCTGTCCCTCTGTCTCAGAGGAAGAGGAGCCGAGTCATTCGGGCACTGGCGAGTCATGTGGCCAGATTCACCGCATCTTGAGTTCGTGAGTGATTGAGGTTCTTGGGGGACACTGTGAAAGCTAGAAACTTGGAGGTGAGAACTCACTGTCCGCATGTGAAACCATCGTCTCGGTCTCCATGAATATTGGTCTCCATTGTCGTTAACCTGGGCGCGCGTTAGTCAAATGCCCCAAAACTGTCTTGTCCTTGTTCATGATCTTTCACAAGGGTGGAGGGCTAAAGCGGGGCAGCTAAAAAAATGAATTGAGAGGGGGCAGAAAGGAGGGGGCATAGAGGCGCGAGAGAAGGCAGAGGCAGATGAGACGAGATCCTAAGGAGAAGTAGAACACGATCTTTTCACGTGGATCGCTCTTCGAAGATCATCGAGAGAGACAGTGCAAGCTCAACGCGCGAATAATGAAGCTTACCAACGTAATTTTCGATGCGCAGTAAACGCGAAGGCTGTTTGTTGACGATGAGTGAAGACACAAAGAGAAAGGGGAAGAAGAAGAGGAAGAGGGGGGACGAGGGAAAGGAAAACAAACAATTGGCAGGTAACGATGAGGTGGAAACTGTCTGTTTGGGGAAGGAGCGATGTGTTGACCAGACTCAGGCAGTGGCTCTATCTCTAATGCACTTACACTACCTAGGTAGACGACATGCTTAATCACATTAGAGTTACAGATGAGACTCCATATTTTCAAAAGAAATTGCATGCATTTGAATGGTAATTGGTCATATATTCTGCTAGAAATACAGAGCACATGCAGAAAGACCGATGATATAAGGCCACTAACCGCAAGATAGATATGTATCAACCTGTCTACCATTACCGGAATAGCCTGCCCAGCAGGCCACCGGCGATGTTGTTCACAATACCACCACCTAGAGCCGAGTTGGCATATGTGGAGGCCTGACCAAACTTATCACAGCGAGAGAAGGCCATGGTATTTGTGATAGTCAAGATGAGTGCAATGACTAAACCAAAGTCAATACGTAGTTCCAGTGTATACCAAGGGTATCTTGGGAGTAACTTACCAATCAGACTGAGCCAAATAACACCGACAAGTCTCACAATGGCCAAAATCGCAAGGCCCACCCACAGAGCTGGTGTGACATACAAGCTCAGCCAGAAGAACCGCTTGTCAGTGGCTGTCACAGTGCGAACATTGGGGTCGGATGATTCGAAGACCCACTGCGAGTCGCCGGTCGAGGTGTCGACCTCGTTCCACCAACGTAGGCCGACCAGCCGGCGCCCCGCAATGTTTTTGAGGTAATAGAAATCCGCGGAGAGGAGTAGAAGGGTGAAAATGAAGACGAGGATACTAGATAGATGTTAGCATCGCAGGTTGACAAGCGGGTAGTTCAGCGCAGGGTCCGTACAAGTCATCGATGAAGAGTACACCAAATAGATACATCAGTAGCGCACCTACTCATCAAGTTAGTCAAATCATTCTTGCCGCTGTTACTTGGGGCGGGGGAGTACGAACCGATCCGAATGCCTAAGAAGACAAGTAGCGTGATCGGGTGCGCGCTGAGGCGCCAGTTGAGGTCGCCTTGGCCTCCTTGTCCTTGGTCCATGATTTGCAAGGTGGAGGGTTTGGTATTATGTGAATGTAAGGGACCTCTCGGTCAGCAGATTTGGTCAATTTGATCCAAGTTAAGTCTGTTGTTGACTGGCGATGCTCGCTATGTGGTCGAAACACGGGTGCAGGCGGTTTCTTGCGGCAGAATAATCAATGCTACAGCGGAAGCATAGACCAAGTGGATTTGTTGACGATGTGTAATATTTGCTTGGCCAAGGGCTGCAGCATCTACCTAGCATACTGTACAAACCCCTGTAATTTCAGGATCATCAAAGAGGGTCTATAAGAAGATCTAATAATTGCTCCTACTTCTATCAATGTTCAAAGATATTCACGTGACTACACTAGGTGGATACCCGTGAGCCACACATGCAGTTAATTAGGTCCAAACGTATGTGGCGCTAAGCCGATAAGACACAAAGTTTGATCTATATAAGACCTCTGTACTAAAATAACACAAGGAGGCGACCGTAGTAGAGAAGTCACATCGCAGTACCAAGCAGGTAGAGGACGAAGTATGGGCTCTATGGGAACTCCTCTGGTGGTTCAAGTGCCAAATCTAGACCGTACCAACCCATACCTCGGGAGGTAGGTTGCTTCACAAAAACAAAGATAAATGACCGAAGCGTCTTTTATTACTGCCTAGACATTCTGGGAAATACCTCGGTGCTATGGCTCATACTCGATTAAAATGGAATATATATTGCGACATTCCGCCACTAAGCCTTCCCCAAGGTACAGGCTGTGTTCAAACTATCCATATAGTGTCGTCCCGGCTTAGTGATATCAGCACCTCTCTCAAGGAGGATCTGAGCCACTTCCGCATGACCGCCGTGGATAGCTGCCTCCAGGGTATTGTCGAATTCCTCACTTCTCGCGTGTATGCCTGCGTTATATTCGAGAAGAACGTGACAAACTGCGGCCTGTTCTTCATATGTTGCGGTCTGTAAGGCACTCCCGTACAACCCCTTTGTATCGACTGATATACCAGAATTCAGTAATAGCTTGACCACTCAAGAATGACCTTTTGCTGCAGCCACATGGAGAGCATTGCCGTAAACACCTTCTGCGGTCAAAATCTCGGGCTCATTGCTAAGGATGCAGGATACAACAGTATCTAACCCTACAAGTGAGGTGATTCAGAGAGGTAAAGGTAAAAATGGAGTAAATGATACATCAAGTGGCTTGGTCCGGGTCCTCCAGAGCTCGTCAAAATCATGGATACTTATCCAGTCCGTGAATACGTTTGCGTGAAACACAAAAACATCCTCCATCGGTAGTTGTAGGCAAGAGCCCGCTTCAACCGAAGTCAATTTAAGATCGTCTTTCCACTCCCAGCTTGTTATAACATCAGATATGACTATTTCAAAGACGTACTTTCGGGGGACAACATACGGATCCCATATAGCCATAGCAGGCGCTCATTTCCATGGGCCCATGATATGTAGGAATCGTCCTGCAGTAGCCACTCGCCAGTCGTTGGGACATTATTGCTGCGGGCCCGGTCATGATCCACTGCCGTGTCGAGATCTGATATTCGCTGCAATAGATCTCCGTCGTCAAGATCTTGCAAACATCTTGCATTTCCAGTGTAAGTAACTCAACGGTACCTCTAGGCCTTTTCTTTCATACATTTCATACCAGTCATATCTGACTGAACTTGTTTGATCTGGTCTAATACTTCTAGAATCCAATCAGCGTCAGGAAGCAAAGGGTGGTGTCTCTGTACTACCATGGGATATGTGGCCTAGTTATTTACTTCACGCATAGCTCGGGGTAGACACTTACTCACCATTGGGGACATCATTGCCAGTTCCTAACCAGGAACAAGTAAGAGAATATCCTTGGCTGTTGCTGCCGCGTATGTATTCTTGCCATGCCTTGGTTTTATGGGGATCAGCATAGTCACAGATACCTCTGATAACCATGCACCGAAAGTCATTCATAAATTCGGCGGATTTTGATGCGATCCACTTGTGCTTTTTCCACTTCCTGTAGCGAACAAATCACCACACTGAAATGTGCTTCTATAATCACCACCCAGGCGAGTACAATGTCATGAGGACTCTACCATGTTCCTACAGATCTACAAGAAACCGTCTAGGAGCTGGGTAAATTCCATCGGACGAAGACAGAACCATTTCACTTGTTATGCTTAATCGTACAGGAGACTGACCCCAATTTGGTAGAAGAAACGCAATCGCGCTCAAAGATATGTTGATGCTAAATTCTAAAATTTAAACAAAGCTTCCTACAAAAATAGTATGGATGCTTCTAACAATCTTATAAATTCCATCTCATAAAAAAAGAAAACCGAAAAGAAATCAAGTCTGCCACACTTCTACGTGGGATATACTACCACAGCGGCTTTACAGATAGCCGAGTCGGCTTCTTCCCGATCAAGTCAACCTTGGAACTCCATAAAGACCTCCACTCCCCAAGAAACACAGTACACAGTACACAACTCGATACATATGTACCATTGAATGCACACACAAATCACCATATAAACAATGGCCGCCCGCAATACTCTCCGTCGTTCCCTCCTCTACGGTAAGCTCAAGCTCCCTTCCAAAGCCGCATCTTCCCCGCATTTCACTCCCCGAGCTCCAAAGAGAAAAAAAAACACCCATAGCTAACAACACCAAACAGTCCCCGGCTCCTCCCAACGCTTCCTAGACAAGTCGCGCTCACTGACCGCCGACTGCGTCACCTATGACCTAGAAGATAGCGTGACACCGCACATGAAAGCAGAGGCGCGCTCGCTAGTGCGGAGAGCAATCGACCAAGCCGCGCCACCAGGAATTCGGGAACGCGCCGTGCGAATCAACTCCGTAGACAGCGGGTTAGCATTGGGTGATTTGACCGAAGTTGTGAGTGGACTCCGGATACATACAGAAACAGCTCCCTCCCCAAAACAGCTACCCTTCCCCTTACAACGTCCAACTTGCTAACCGCCGCAGCTCCAATCACCAAACCTAACAACAATCGTAATCCCAAAAGTCAACTCCGCCTCGGACCTAACCTTCGTCACAGACGTCATAAACCACACTCTATCCCAGCAACCACCAACAGAAAGAACCCCAATCTCACTGCTGGCTCTAGTCGAGTCCGCCAAGTCCCTGACAAACCTATCTCAGATCTGCGCCGCGTCGCCCTTACTCCAAGGGCTAGTATTCGCCGCCGAAGACTTCGCGCTAGACCTAAGTATTACGCGGACGCCTTCACTGACAGAGTTCCTCTTCGCGCGGTCTGCGATAGCTACCGCTGCGCGGGCGGCGGATCTGCCGTCGACGATTGACCTCGTCTGTACGACGTACAAGTCTGAGAAAGGGGACGGGTCGCCGCCGGATGTGTTGCAGGAGGAGTGTCGGGATGGACGCCGGTTGGGGTTCAACGGGAAACAGTGTATTCATCCGTCGCAGGTGAAGATTGCGGATCAGATCTTTGGGCCGGATGCAAGGGAGACGGAGTGGGCTATGCGGGTTGTTATTGCGGATGAGAAGGCTGCGAGGGCCGGGAGGGGTGCTTGGACGCTTGATGGGAAGATGATTGATGTTCCTGTTGCACATAAGGCTAGGGCTATTGTTAGGAAGGCGGAGGCTTGTGGAGTTGATGTTGATGCTTTGAGGGAGGAGTGGCAGCATCAGGAGCCAGAGTAGGTGGTTTCATATGTATAGCGCTGTTTACTGTCTACATGATATCCCTGTTTATTTTCTTTATATATTGTAGTATTTTTCTATGCAGGCATAATTTCCTTGAGAAGGGGCTTTTTCCTACTGTGGATCGTATTCGGTTATCTCGCTATTTCTAAGAGTCATGCTGAGACCACCCAAGTATATAGAAGCATGTAGCCAAGAAGAATTCTATCCTAAAAAGATTGCTCAACCCCCCGATACGTTCGCCTGATGTACTTGCTGCGTGCCGTGATTGAGACAGATTTGAACTAAAAGGTTGAAAACAAGTTGGGTTATCGACTTGAAACGATTCAATAGATAAATTTGCTGTACTGGGGTATCATGCCGCTTTGACGCAAATTGAGTTGAATGACATGCCATGTCATTGATCTTGGGTCTCTATTTCTTCGCGCTTGAGTAAATGGATTTTGCCCATGGTCAGGATGGGAGGCTCTCCGCCAGCGTTGGCCTCCATCAATTCACTAGTCAGCTCCTTGGCCACTGACTTGTCATAACTGGTTGGATCGATGCCGAGAATCCCTCCAACATAACCGCCTCGCTCGCCAGGTACACTGAATTCCCGGAACAAGTACCGCCACTCATTTAGCCATGCTTTAACGGCCTTGCCGATTTTATCTTTGCCGTTCTTCGAGTGGTGACCAGTGCCTGTGATGGCATACACCACCCGGAGGCCTTCCCTAGCATGCTTGAGCAGAATTTTCTCGAGATATTCGATAGCCTCTTCTGGGTGGAGACCGTGAAGGTCAACGTATAGTTCTTCCGAAGATTCATCCAATCCCTTGTGAGAGAGATGTTGATTACGTTCTTCATAAAGCTGGCGTGCGGCCTCCCGATGGCACCTGCGCATCGCGTCATTCTCGGCTTGACCGCGCAACGACAATGCTTTGGCAGCTCGTGCATCATTGCGGTTCCATGCTTGGGCAGCGCTGGGAGATATGAATGTTAGAGGGGGTGGGAAATAATATTACTCGATGAAAGCTTACCTCTGGAGGAACTTGTTTCGCACAGTGCCGTGGCGAATAGCCTCGGTGCGGTATTTGATATATTGTTGATTGGCCCGCGTGCCTGTCTCCAGCCAGGGGATATTTTGCGGGGGTGGAATCGACTGAGCTGCGGCACTATTCTCGCGACCCTTCGTATCTTTGTTTCTGGAGCTAGATTTGGTTTTCCCGGGGACAGGAGATGGGGTCATTCGAACCACATCTGCCAGAGATGAAGGGACGCTTTCTTTGCTCAAGCTAGTCTCGCGATTATTATGACCGCCCCGTTTCCCATGATGCTTTTTCCCGGCATTCTT